CTCCAGGTTATTATTAAACTCAAATTATTTTACTTGGTAAATTTTAAAGGATGGACTATATAATAACAATATATAACGAAAAAAATAGATAGAATACTGAAAACTATGAAGGATTTGCTTAAAAAATGTCCTAAGACCGTCCAATTTTATATTACAGGATATTCAAATTAAAAATTAATTAATTATTGTTTTATATTTTTTTAAATTTTTTTAGACAAATTTTAAAGTAGGTAGCTACTAAATTGCTTAAAAAAATAAATGATTTTACCTATATATATTTATAAAAAAAAATAAGTATTCTCCAAATAAGTTCATTTGAGTTTAATAAAAATCGTAAAACCATCGCCGACCACTATTTTTGCAGCCTTGTCCATTCGATCTGTGCAGAATTTACACCTTCGAAAAACTAAATCCTGCAGAATCATTTTCCGTTCGTACTTTTTCCACAGAAAATAAATTCGGAAGGTGTAAAATTCTGAAGATCCAATGTCTTTATTGTCAAATGAAACGATTACAAATACACCACATCGTCAATGTCGATACAACAGACAGAAATATATTTCTGCGCATGTGTCACATCGGCATAGACGTTGTCAACAAACATGAGTTGCTTAACGAAAAAAAAAAAACTAGTTTTAAAACCGAGTAAAATTGTTGTATATCTAGCAACTCCAACACACTCCTACCCGTTACATTTTTCGGACTATAGCGATTCGGCACTTGGATTTTAAAGCACTGAAAAGAGAAAGAAATAGCAAAATTAGATGTAATATTTATTAATTACAAGTAATTTTAAAAACTGAATAAAATTGTTCATATGCCATTACACATTTATTTTGCTGATTTTCTGATAAATGCCATCACTAAATATTAATCAAATTTATACGGGGCCACCCTTGAGGTACCCCCTTACTAACAAAAAAAGAATCATAGAAATCGGACAAGATAGTAAAAAATTATCGCTGAGCATACATAAAAAATAAAGATTTTGATGAATTTCTCATGAATGCAATCATTAGATCTAAACCAAATTTAAATAGTACCACCCCTAAAGTACCCCCTTACTAACAAAAAAAGAATCATTGAAATCTTAAAATGTTGTAAAAAATTATCGTTGAGAACACAAAAAATATTTCGACGAATTAAGAACCTCCTCCTTCTTTAAAAATTGAAATAAATAGGAAAATAATTTTGGAAATCGGGTGGTCACAGTGTATATATTTTTTAAATATTAATATTTCCCCCTCTAAACGACACGCCATTGATATATCGTGGGCTTACAGCCAAAAGTGACCAAGTCAAATTTTATGTGATTTGAGTTAACTGAGTCATTTATTAAAGACAGATCTACAAAAAAAGTCACTCAAGTCATATTTACATTGCCTGAAAGTACTAAATAAACTCAATCGATATGACTTGGCCATTTTTTATTTGGTAGATCTGACTTTACTAAGAAATTAGGTCATATTAACTCAAATCATACAAAATTTGGCAGTAAGCACACGAATATTAAAAATATTTGTATGTAAAAATAATCAAATTATAACCCTAAACGTACCACAAGTGGCACAAGTTCATATTTTTTGACCCACCTGGTATACGACTAAAAAAAATTAAAATCTGATAATTATATTTTACATTTTAGACAATGTAATACTTTTATGAACAATAACTTTTTCTGGAAAATTAATATTAAAAAAGTTTTTTGTACTTATGCTGTGAATTTAACTAATAAACACTTTTGTATTTCATATTATGTTGAATAGGGTAAGAAAAATTAAATTTTATTAATAATTATTGGAATTCAGTTATAAGTTATACTTTTTTCAAATATAACAGAAAAATCCAAAATAAGAAAGTTTGCCATATGCTGCAAAGTTTTTGAATCACACTGTATATTATAATAAATCCTGGGGTTATAGACTATGATTAACTATTAGGTAGGTATGTTATTAAAGTACTCAAATCTAAAATAATTAGGTATTTCAATAGAAATTGAAAATAGACGTAACTGTGACATATAAACAAATAATCTTCAGTATATTTTTCGAGTTCCCTCGTATGCGGTAAGAAATTCAATAAATTAATATTGAAATTCAGTTCAGATGAAATATAAATCTTTTTAATAAATCAAAAATAAAAAGTTTTACATGCAATGTTTTTATAGTCTTATTGTATATAACAAAAAGTGGTATTATAAGTTAAGATGTAGTTATTATTCTAATTGAAATTACCAAAAATTAATACTCTGTTTAATCCCATCCTAGATTCAACACTGATATCGAATAATACAACAATTTCATTAAGAAAAGATAAGTTTTTGGTAAATAGGTACTTACCTATTTACCAATAACCACCTACCTATGTATTTCTATATTTATCTAAATTGCCGTCCTAATAAGAAAGGTCCTATCTACAAAATTAGCAGTTTTTCAATCTCTTTGCATTAAGAGAGTTTCACAAAAAAGGTTTACAAGGCAACAAATACACCTATACAGTTTAAAAACTCTCAATTATTTCCAAACAAAAAAATGTTCAGATAGGACCTTTCTTGCTAGGACGGCAATAAATACTAGGTACATACAAAAACCCAAAACAATTCTATAAAAAATTTTCATTACATTGTTTACTTCTAGGTACCTAGTAATATTCCTTCCTCCATGGTACCTAGGTAGTTTTTGCTATTAGAGAAAAAACGCCAGTGATAAAAATGCAAAAAAAGCGTTATATATAGTAAATTTTACCTTTTTAATAAAACATTTTGATATGTATTCTCTTGAACCTGCATAGATGGGAAACAGAATATACACTTCATTTAATATAGATAAAACACCTCCACAATTTTATTTATTTACATAAAAATTATAACCTCACTTTTATTACACAATAATTTGTCTGTGAAATGACCGACAACCCACTAGATCGACTTGAAAATAGGAAAATTATTTCTTCCATAATTTAAATGAAATAATGTACCTACTAGCGTTTTCGAAATAGGAATGTATACAGCTAAGTTTACATCGGTATAATTAGTTGTTTCATTAGCATCATATTTTACCAATTTTGGTAGCGATTTTGAAAGTTATAAAGAAAACAGATTACCTACATACCTTTCTAAACTTTTTGTCTGGATAAAACACACACACTATAATGATTCACAATAGAAAACACTTAACAAGAGTCGTTTGAAATTTAAAACACAGCAGCCATCAAAAGGAATTTGAAATTTCTCATTGGCTGAAATGACAGCTAGATATATCTTGTGACGTAACGACATGCTAAATGAAAATTTCAAAGTAATAGGCCGTGTCTAAGATTACGGTGTCGTTATAATAGCGGTGCATATTGAAGTTATGTTAATAAAATAATTAAATATGAAATATAAAAATGAAAAAATTATACAGAGTACGTACCTAATTTCCTGTTTTATATTTAATTATTTTGAATTTACATTAAAAATGATAATTCGTTTTATCGTAGAAAAATAGGTATAGGTATGGGTAAATTAAGATAAGTACACATACTGGTTGTTAGTTTTTAAATTGAGGGTGATTATACGGGGGATAACCAAACAGTTGGAAAGTCATCAGATATTTTTTAGAGAAACATTTTTTTAACCATTTAAAGTTCTTGAATTCCTCATGTTTCCTTTAAGAAAATGCGAATATTTAATTAACTTTCCTATCTGTATACAGATAAGGAAAGTATAGGAATCGAGTTTTCGACGGATTTTTACGTTTTGGAGTCCTCTGAATCCATTTTGACTATATTCGCGATGATGTCTTTGTGTGTGTCTCTGTGTATCTGTATCCTCGATAACTCTTGGACGGATACAAAGAAAAACACCAAATTTTAATCATAAGCTTTATTGCAGCCTGTAGTGAACTGTTTAGATTTTGAGCAGAGTCTGAACATTTGGAGGGTACTTTATATGGGGTCATTTTTATAATTTAATAACCTAGTAAACCACAAATAGTCGGCATTCGCTCGGCCTGACACCGGCATGTATGAGAAGCCGAGTACTCGGATTGCCATTGTCGGGGTTTCTTCTGAGCCGGGAGTACAGTACCATTTGACGTAATTTAGAAGTAGAAACCGCATATGATCCATATTTGGCTTTCCAAACATGGGAGACATCCTTACGGGCCGAACGCGGTGAATATTTGGCTAGTCGGATATAAGAGACATCATTACGGCTCGAATTATGTATAGATATATGAACGCAGCTACAATTTAGTTGCACCTGTATATCGGGCCGTGTCCGGCATCCGGCAAGCCTCCTTCGGTGCCGATCAACTGTGTTTATTGGGTACATATATTTGTTACTAACGCTTTCTGCTATAGTCAAATATTCACTTCTTTTGAAACTGTTATATCGCCATAAAAGAGTATTTTATGAATCAATTTGGATATTTTATGACATTTTTACCAACTAACTTTTTACAGGCACATGTGCATGGTCATGAGAGGAGTGCAAAAAATCAATAGCAAAACTGTAACTTCGACAATGTTGGGAGTTTTTCGAGATGATCCGAAGACCAGGGAAGAATTTTTAAATTTAGTGCAATCTAAGTAGTTAATGTTTAAATGTAAAAAATTAACTTTATCATAGTTTATTTTGGTGTTTCTTTTTTTTTCAGGAAAACTCTTTTAATGAAAATACTATTAGCATTTTATGTATTAGGAAATTCCAATTAAAAGTTGTACAACTTGTTCAGGTCTACATAAATAATTCCAGTGATTAGCCAATATGAAGCATTTTTATATGCCAGATCTATGTACCTATATTAATCAATGTAATTAAAAAGACCAAATTTATGAATGGGACTATGCTAATAAATATAATCTAATATATGCTAAAACTAATCCCTCATGTTCTGTTCGCTTTTATTATACATAATTATGATTATATTTATCAAGACCCTATATATAATATTTTCAAAAAAACAATTCCTATAAAACTACGATTTCATTTTGATAATAAAACTCTTATTTTCTCTTTTTCAGTCCTAAGATTAAGATTTTAATTTTTAGTTTATATATAAAATATATAAAAAATATTTGCTTTTATGTTTATATTATTGATGATAGTATTGTAAAATTATTATAATTTACTATTAATTTATTTTATTTATAAAAGTACTTAACAATAAAAACTTAGAGGACCACCATATATACCAATGTTGTGAAAAGTATATAAGTAGTTGTAAAATTTACGTACATTGTTGTTATATCTATGTTACTGTGATAATATATAAAAAAATATATTTTTTGTTATTTTTATTCCTTGAAATATATCAAAATTATATATATACGAATTTTAAATATTGTTATATTTTATATATTATCTTCGTTTTGAACATTTACAGTATTTTTATATTTTATAAAAGATATATACCTATGTATACCTAAGTTACTTGTTATAGAATCAAATCTGGACAATCGAAATATATAATACCTATGTGTGTCAAAATATTTAAATAAAATGTACTTGTCAGCATCATTATATTGTTATTAGTATTTTACCTTCACCCATGTAATATTTCACAAGCAAAAGTTTAAATTGTTTAGGTCGACAGTTTGGATGTATGATATGGGAGGTTTATTACATCTACATTCAGATCTAATTCTCTATCACGTGATAAAAAATTCACAACATCTCAGATGCATCCGATGTGGATTCTCAAACGCGGCAAATAAACAAACGCTCTAGACTTTATTGGTCACGTGATAAAATGTCAATGACAAGTTAGAAGTTTACACTTTTTAAATTTGATTTTTGAGACTACAAATCAACCTAAATTTGAAATCTAAAAAATTAAACAAACTACCCAGACAACACACCAAATCCCAGAGATATCCACAGAATATCTTTTGTGGATATCCAATATATCTACAGGATATCAGAAATATTCCGTGGATCTAATATGGATATCCAAGTGTCCGTCTATATCCAGAATATAGAAGATATCCTAATGGATATTCAGCAAAATATCTAATGGGTATCTTCCAGAAAATACAAGAAATCCCAGAGATATCCACAGAATATATTTTGTGGATATTCAATATATCCAAAGTATATTAACCGTTGAGTAGCGACATAAAGTGTCGGTGCCTTTGATCTTGGGTGGTGCAAATTTTCTTTCTCTCTCTTTTGACGTTATTGACGGAACGACACAGTAAAACACTGCTCGAATTATGAACTGGTCTTGAATGTGATGTTTACACTGCTCGACGTAATTTGAAGTAAAACTCTTTTGTAGTTTACATTTATAATAAAGGTTTGGTCATTAGGCAGTTTTATATTTATGAGTATTTAACTTATGTAGTAAATATAAAAATATATATCACTATTGATAAATTTCAATTTTTTTACCTACGTCCGGATGAGCTAGAGACTTGAAAGTTGGTAGGTGCACAGGGTTTTGATTTTTGATAACAATAGAAATTATTACTTATGGACCTTCTTATTTATTAATCGACTTGTCTCAAACTTTAAATTTTGCTGAATACAATTTTTGACTAATAATGCGCTCCGTTACTCAAAACTTTTAATTCACGTTTAAAGTGTTTGACAGAGGTATCTGATTTGACAAGTTATTCATACAACAATATGGAAGTCAGTGTCAAATCTGATGACATTTCGTCAATCATTCTAATTTTTGATGAATCATACTGTAAACTACGAAAGCGTAGAAGAATCACAGTGAAAAATATATAATTGACAGTGATATCTGTCAATTAGTGCTAATTTTCACTTACATCTGTCAATTAGGTCTAATTCCCAGTTCTAGCTGTCAATTACTACTAAGTGGCCTTAGGTATATCTGTCAATTATAAGGCCTGATTCCCAGTTCTGGCTGTCGATTAATGCTAATTAATTGACACTTAGACCTAATTGATAGATGTAAATGTCAATTAGCATTAATTGACAGATTTAAGTGTCAATTAGCATTAACTTAACAGACAGAACTAGGAATTAGCCTAATTGACAGATGTAGTTAACAGCAAAATAGGGGACAATCTTACTATTCTTATACTTATGAATAGATTTACTTAAGCTTGGGGGTTGTTGAGTTGAGGTAGCTTATTGTGATTTCTGACAAAAAATCAAGAAAATCAAAATGGCGGACTTTTCCGTTTAAGAACCGATTTGTCTCAAACCAGAAACTTGGTGGTCTTAATACAACTTTTGATCTAAACATAAAAATATCAAAATGGCGGACTTTCCTAATGAACCGATTGTCCTAAACTTGGGGATGTTTAAGGCCGCCAAATATGAGTTTTAACTTGAATTTAACCAAGATAAAGTTGGCAGACTTTTGTATTGATGAGCCGATTTGTTTCAAACTTGGATTTTGTATGTTTGAGGTCACTGACTGTGATTTGAGGAATTGAATTGCGAAAAGTTATCAGGAAAAAAGTCTTGTAATATTTACGCATAAATGATAATACTGTAATAATGTTGCTATTCAAGTTATCAATAAATTTAATAGACATTAATTAAGGTAAATGATTTTATTAGTCACCAGATCAACAAAATTGCACTAAAAAGTAAATTGAATGGACAGATCTTTATTTAATTAAACAAAAAAGAATTAGTACTTTTGTCAATGGCACATATATTTTTGAGATCAAATTTTCACAAATAAGTTCCAATAAAAATAAGATTATTATTTGATAAATATCAAATATAGTGTGTAGTTCAAGGTACTTACCTCTCATATTCTTCTGGAAATGAAAACAGTGATTTGTTATCACCAGACTTGTCGAGCAAGGTCGATAAGCACATGCATATTCTGGCATAATGAAAACCCACAAACCCCAAAAAAACAATAAAAGAGCACTAATAAATCCACAACAACGAATTCCTATATCAGCTGCCGGACTAAAGTGAAAGGGGTTGTTTACATCTTTAGAAGACGTCTCGCCTCTCTATTTCGCGTCGGCGCACTAGAATTCGGTTCCCCAGCTGTCTCTACTCAACGGTTATATACTTTGATATATCCAACCAAATGTCCGTCTATATCCCAGGATATAGAAGATATTCGGATATTCAACAAAATATTTTATGGGTATCTTTAGTAGAGGTTCATAAGTAACCAATGTTTATTGAATAACGTCGAAAGAAAATAGCAGAGATAAAAAATATTTTCAACACTCTGCCTTTGATTTTACCCACTAATGAGAAAGTCATCCTTATTAGGACTCTGCAGCAATAAATGGAAGTTCTCGACTCCAGTCTCTTATGGAGTCTGTAGGACAAAAATTTCGATCGAACTCTATTACGGCGGGTCGAGCATGAGTAGATGCGATAGTGGTATCGCCATCTATACTTAGTAAGCAGAATCAAATAACATCTAGTGGATATCCACGATGGTTTGCGTTCGCGCCTAGACTTTGATATATTTAGTGGATGTTCATGGGATATTGAATACATCTAAAAAAAAAATAATTTTAAATATCTGAACGGTACTATTAGCCACAATGGCGAGCACAATGGCATAATTTTTTAATAATTTGCTATATAATTACTATTATTTATGGACATTTGCATGTCTATAAATTACATCTCATGGATATAAAATATATATCTACCATGGACTGGACCGTCAGTGGATATTGGGATGTTCAGTAGATATCCAAAGGATTTGGTGTGCTGTCTGGGTAGTCACTTTTATATTCATGCTAGCATAAACAAAGGATAAATTGACAAACTTGGCTTCACATAACATTTATTTTCTGGCATGGAACGAACATCTCATTCACATCTCATTTCAAATCGAGATGTTAAGAATGTAATCTAAACAGGTACATCTGGGATAAACAAACGCAGATGTAGATGTAGTAGATGTGTCCGATGTGGATAAAAAAACGCTCGATATATAAAAAATGCATCGGATCTGGATTTTCAAACGCGGCACTAGTCGCTGTACTTTTTGTACATGAAATGAATGCAAATTTTCTTTTTTTAAAGTTTTCCACACTCTTGTTATCGGTAGGTACTGCTACCAGATTCGGAATGAGTTCTAAACCCCACTGAAATAGATAACGTCAAATCTTGTCAACTTAAATGGAGAAAACCTAGATATTGCCATCTAATTTTGTCACAGTTTATAATGTGTTTGGCAGTTTGCCAATCGAAGACGGATGGATTGTTTTTCTCCTCTGATGAAAGAATCACTTTGCTGACTTACTGGTAGATAAATAACTTTTAAAACTACCCCTATTATAAATCAGTGACGAATATCTCCTTAATTCCAGCTGTAAATTAGCAGAAATAAATAACAAAAATGATACAAGTTTCCAATATGTTTTTGGATTGAACAATGTTTAATTTTTAGTTAGTTAGAGCATTGTATATTTGAAAATTGGATATACATAATATATATTATAAAAAAATAATTTTTAATATCAAAAAATCATTTCAGGAAAGTAATTTTGGTTAGATTTGTATTAAAATACCTACTTTCTTTCTTTAATTTTGTTCTCTGACCTGATACATAGGCAATACATAATATATAATATAAAAAAATAATTTTTAATATCAAAAAATCATTTCAGGAAAGTAATTTTGGTTAGATTTGTATTAAAATACCTACTTTCTTTCCAGGGCTGGTATATCTAAGGGGGTCGCGACATAGACCCAGTAAATGGATGAGGGGGTGACTGAGGCTAGGGGGGAAATAGTAGTCAGCTTAAGTTGGCAACACTTTTCTGACGTTCGTTTGAACGAGCATCGAGCATAATAATGTCAATATGGTACAAGTGGAATGAACCACTGTTTTCCTCGTCGTAGTCCAATGTCGAATTAAAACATTTTGTACTTTTTTATATACCAAATTATGCAATTTGTTTCCATTTTATTTTAATGTTACATGAATAGGTACATGTGTTTGTGCTGCGGTAAATAAGTGTTCATGTGAAAATTATCTCTTAAACTACATTGTGATTGCACTCATCTCAAAACTGAATGCTGTAAATCCAGGATTTAAATCTTTCATAGTGTTGCTTGGGATAAATTGTAAAAAAGGTGTTGGACAAAACGTTTACAACCTAAAATTGCATGAAAAACATGATAGAAGAAGGAATTTTACCTTTATGACATTCTCTTTCAACATTTTTAAGTGACTTTGTGGTTTGGTGAATGGACTGTTACCACAGTCAAAAGATTCAAAGTAAAAAAAAAGTGACCAAGTTCTAATAAGAATACATAAGTTGAATATGAAAATGTAATTACTTGATTTAAATGTGATTTAATTAAGAGTTAAATAGAGGTTTCATATAAACAAAGTGCTGTAAAATGTTAGTAAATGCAAAACCATTATTAAAGAGGAATTAGTTATCATCAATAAGATATTTTGTAGTAGCTGGTCTCTATAAATAATAAACTTGAAAGACTGAATTAGTAGTCACTTTTACACTAGAAGTAAAAACAAACAAAAATGTGTGGTTGAGACTAATTTATGTATTTAATAAAAACATATTTAACATAAAAGCAGGTGTTATTTGAAATGTTTTATTTTAGTTTAATAATCTTTATAAATTGTGGGTACATTTGATCCGAATCTTGCAAATACTATAAAATGCATATGCTTCTATATGGTTAGTATTGGAGTAGAAGCACAAAAGTTTTGAATAAAAATATAGATACCGGAATACTTTGCTTGATTACTAAACTTTGGATGTTTTTGTTGTAGTCTGCTGTTAACACTATTGTCCTGAAATATTAAAAAAGCTAGACAAAGGTTTGTCCAACTCTTTTGTCAGCTTTGTTAATCTATGCTACTGTTATTCTGCATGCAGACATTTTTTACTGGAGATTTTCTCTAAGAACTGTATTCAGTTTCAAATTTCGGCCAGTTTTAGGAAAGTACTTCTGTTATAAAGGTATTTCAAATCCATCCTTTGTAAGATGTAGACAACAAATACATGCTAAAATGTATAGAAAACAAATGGCAAGATATTACACAAAATTATTTAAATTAACTAAAAACATACAAATGAAGTGAATAATACCTACCAACAATTTAAAAAGACCTAAAATAAATAGACTTAAGGGACTGGAGCTCTAAAAAAGGGAGCAATAATTTGTTATGCATTATCTATAAGAAAATTGTCTTCATCTCTTCAATTACCTTTTAAAATAAACAAAACTAAAACAGCACAAAATTAAAAGTGATCTACTTTTCCCGACGTATTTTATGTACATTTGAGATTAATAATTTATTAAATTGAAATATTTTATCCTAAAAAATATGGGCATTTTATAATGGAAATGTCATTTAAGAAATGACATTGATTTTTTTTCTTATATTGGTAAACCTGGCGACTACAAGTTGCCACGTTGCCAGATCAATGGCGACTACTATTTCGAAAAAAATGGCGTCCAAAATGGACTCCCAGGGCTGGTATATCTAAGGGGGTCGCGACATAGACCCAGTAAATAGATGAGGGGGTGACTGAGGCTAGGGGGGAAATAGTAGTCAGCTTAAGTTGGCAACACTTTTCTGATGTTCGTTTGAACGAGCATCGTGCATAATAATGTCAATATGGTACAAGTGGAATGAACCACTGTTTTCCTCGTAGTCCAATGTCGAATTAAAACTAAAAACATTTTGTACTTTTTTATATATCAAATTATGCAATTTGTTTCCACTTTATTTTAATGTTACATGAATAGGTACATGCGTTTGTGCTGTGGTAAATAAGTGTTCATGTGAAAATTATATCTTAAACTACATTGTGACTGCACTCATCTCGAAACTGAATGCTGTAAATCCAGGATTTAAATCTTTCATAGTGTTGCTTGGGATAAATTGTAAAAAAGGTGTTGGACAAAACGTTTACAACCTAAAATTGCATGAAAAACACGATAGAAGAAGGAATTTTACCTTTATGACATTCTCTTTCAACATTTTTAAGTGACTTTGTGGTTTGGTGAATGGACTGTTACCACAGTCAAAAGATTCAAAGTAAAAAAAGTGACCAAGTTCTAATAAGAATACATAAGTTGAATATGAAAATGTAATTACTTGATTTAAATGTGATTTAATTAAGAGTTACATAGATGTTTCATATAAACAAAGTGCTGTAAAATGTTAATAAATGCAAAACCATTATTAAAGAGAAATTAGTTATCATCAATAAGATATTTTGTAGTAGCTGGTCTCTATAAATAATAAACTTGAAAGACTGAATTAGTAGTCACTTTTACACTAGAAGTAAAAACAAAAAAAAAATGTGTGGTTGAGACTAATTTGTGTATTTAATAATAACATATTTAACATAAAAGCTGGTGTTATTTGAAATGTTTTATTTTAATTTAATAATCTTTATAAATTGTGGGTACATTTGATCCGAATCTTGCAAATACTATAAAATTCATATGCTTCTATATGGTTAGTATTGGAGTAGAAGCACAAAAGTTTTGAATAAAAATATATTCTTTAAATACAATATTCACTAGATATGCTAATTTTGGTAATTTTCTATTCGAAACCATACATGTTTTCTATTATAGTTTTCATATGTTTATAATTCTGGAGATACCAGAATATTTTGCTTGATTACTAAACTTTGGATGTTTTTGTTGTAGTCTGCTGTTAACACTATTGTCCTGAAATATTAAAAAAGCTAGACAAAGTTTTGTCCAACTCTTTTGTCAGCTTTGTTAATCTATGCTACTGTTAGTCTGCATGCAGACATTTTTTACTGGAAATTTTCTCTAAGAACTGTATTCAGTTTCAAATTTCGGCCAGTTTTAGGAAAGTACCTCTGTTGTAAAGGTATTTCAAAGCCATCCTTTGTGAGATGTAGACAACAAATACATGCTAAAATGTATAGAAAACAAATCGCAAGATATTACACAAAATTATTTAAATTAACTAAAAACATACAAATGAAGTGAATAATACCTACCAACAATTTAAAAAGACCTAAAATAAATAGACTTAAGGGACTGGAGCTCTAAAAAAGGGAGCAATAATTTGTTATGCATCATCTATAAGAAAATTGTCTTCATCTCTTCAATTACTTTTTAAAATAAACAAAACTAAAACAGCACAAAATTGAAAGTGATCTACTTTTCCCGACGTATTTTATGTACATCTGAGATTAATAATTTATTAAATTGAAATATTTTATCGTAAAAAATATGGAAATGTCATTTAATGACATTGATTTTTTTTCTTATATTGGTAAACCTGGCGACTACAAGTTGCTACGTTGCCAGATCAATGGCGACTACTATTTCGAAAAAAATGGCGTCCAAAATGGACTTCTATGTCGCGACCCCCTTAGATATACCAGCCCTGATGGACTCCTATGTCGCGACCCCCTTAGATATACCAGCCCTGCTTTCTTTCTTTAATTTTGTTCTCTGACCTGATACATAGGCAATACATATTACATATTGTGTAATATGTATTGCCTATGTAACCGGTCAGAGAACAAAATTAAAGAAAGAAAGAAAGTAAGTAGGTATTTAACCAAAATTACCTTCCTGAAATGGTTTTTTGATATTAAAAATTATTTATTTTCTGAATAATTTAACAAATGTCAATAAATAAAATTGTATAAATATCCGAAGAAACAAGTCAAGTCATACAAGAAGAGGTGAGATGTGTCATATCGTGTGTCATGTTTATTTACATATGAAGTTGTCTCACTTAGATCTAAACAAAGGTTGTATGCTTCATCACTTTCTCGCAAAGAATTTCAGGAGTAGAGAAAGGAAAAGAAAATTATTTTAATTACCCGTAATTATTTTTTATTTTTCATACCGGTGACCTTCTTTACAGTCAATGTCTTGATCAAGTTAATTCAGAAATATGTCTAACACAAAAGTGCCTGAACCAGAAAATTTCCCAAAATCAGGGAGAGTTAACGAAGTTTGCCAAGAATGGATGGTGAGAGAAGACAGTGCTTTGGCTTATCGGTTACAAAACCAAGAATTTCATGAACACCTAACAGGTAACAAATTTAGAAATGCATTGGTTCGTGAGGATTTTCCAAAAGCCAAAGATGAACAAATTAGAGAGCAACAGCTGGCAGAACAAGCAGCTGCTATTTATCATAAAATGCTTGCAGAGCAGGAAGAAATAGACAATAAGGTATTTACAATCTTTTTTTAATTAAGGAAATGTTTAATTATCGATAAATATCACTTTTTAATACAATAATCCTAGGGCATGTTGACCCAATTAAACTGGACCAATAATTATCTGAAGTTCCATATAAAAGTTTGTTTTGCTGTCCCCTGTGATATACATATTGTGATTTCCATTACTCTACTAACATACAAAATATTAATAAACAAAACTAGGTAAATAAACAGTCGAAGAAAACAGAAAATTAAGAATACCAAACAAAAACAAATTAAACTAAAAAAATGCTCTTTTCTAATTGACACCTATCATTGGTAAGCTGTAACTAAAAAATAAACATTAAAAGTGCTGTTATCTATTACATTATCTATAATATTGTCTATAACATATAGTTAATATTAAACTGCTTGGTTTTTTTGTTTTGATTTATAACAAATTTAAATTGGATTAGATATGGAATTAAATATTTAATTTTAAATTTACTGGCCTGACTATGCTGCATGGTCTTCGAAATAGGTGCAGTACATTACTGTTATTTTATTTATTTGGTTTCTATAGGGACTTAGTTCACTTATCTTATCACTAATTTTCAAAATACAAGATAATACTGTAAAAAATAGAACTAGCTAATTGGTAGATATTATCTAAGCCATAAATCTAAATAATAAAAATATTTTCAATTAATTTTCGTAACAATCTTGATCTCAATGTTTATTTAAAAACTTTAAAACATTTTAAAAACCATCCCAGTAGAAATACAAAAAATAATAAATTCTATAACTATGTATACACACACTTTGCTCAAGTTAAAATATTCAAAACTATTGTTTTCTGTATTGTAAATTCAACACTATATTCTCACAAGTCTGTGTTCACAATAACTTATTTTCAGCCATTTTAAACCATATTTAAAGCTTGTAGATGCAAATCATCTGTAAACTACCTCTAAATAAAATACTAAAGTTATTATAGTAGTAAGAATATAATAATTAATTTGTCTTTTACACAAAAATATAATAAAAATAAAGATATAAGCAAAGTTGCTATAATTAGTCAATGATGCAGATCAATAATTAGAATGAATCATCATTCAAAAAATTGTTGCCTCTCTTGTGTCACTAGATTTTTAATATTTTGTTGTAATTTCTTTTGACAATAATTGCAATGTCTATTATGGTTTAGTTCAGCGATGAATGAGAATTAGTTGGTTAATTAAAAAAAGTATAAGGAAATACTATGCAGAGCTGGGCAGTACAATTGCAAAGTGTACTCAAAGTACTCAGTAATTGGTACTCATCAGTACTTTCATCCTAATGGGACTCAGTACTCAAAAAACTTTGAGTACTTTACATTTTAGAGTATTCAGCACTTCTGTTTTTTACACCTGATGAGTAAAGAGTACAAGTGGAAAAATGTAAATTTAAATTAGAGAACTAACAAAGAATTCAAGGATGTAAGACATATTTATAACATTTTTACTTAGTAAATGGAATCATATAACATACTCATACTCTTTACTTGATTTTTTCACAAGTACTCTCTAAAATTTGTAAAAGTACTCATTTGTTTTATTTAGTATTATTTATATAAGTACTCATACTCAGATTCTTGTTAGGAGTACCTTGCGAAGCTACTCATTGTGAATTAGCCATGAGTACTTTAAGGCAGTACTCTGCCTCTGACACTATGCATGAGTACTCAAAATTGAGACAAAACGTTGCATTCTTTAAATATAGAGAAAACTGCGCCTAGAGAGACCTGTTTTTTATTGTCTGATTTACATATAAATGAGCATTCTATATAACTATATAACATTGGTCATAAGTTAACCATAAGTGCATTCATTTATAGTGAGTAAATTTGGAATATTATTCTGCCCATAGTAGACGGGAGACCTAGGTGTACATATGGATCAAAAACTGAATTTTAAGCAAGACACTTTTGAAGTAAAAAAATGTATAACAAGAGCAAAATATTTTATAAATTTAACTTATAAAAAAGAAGGCATATTTCAAAAAACTGCTACTCATATCTACAAAACAATATGCAAACCCATTTTAGAGTACTGCCATCTCTTATACATATATTAATTCAAGCAAAGTCACCCTCAAAAATATTGAAGTAACTGAAACAAGTACATTATGATCCATCACTAAAACAAGACACCCAAGAAACCCATTACATAATCTAACTAATGCGCTTCTCTGTGAAATTACACAAGTAAAACCAGTGGCAGCTGGTGAGGGAGGGCGCTGTGGCGAAGCCCTTCCTGCAAAATAGCAGGAGTCATCTGCAAATTAGTATTTCCATATACTTAATCAGTAATTTTATTTACATATTTTATTAACAATAAAAGTGCCAAACACAATAAATGCAATTATACAGTTTGTGAGCGAACAAGTTAATTAACTACAGATGAGCCGAACCTGTACAATACGAATAGGAATAATACGGTTTTTCCGAGGGGCAAATCACTCTTTGTAAAAATGTACATGTATTGCCGAATTCATATGATTTCCGCAATCATATGGCGATTTCTGGATGACTGCGGCGATTTCTAGATGACTGCGGCGATTTCTGGATGACTGCGGTGATTTCCACATGACTTCCGACAGATTTCCCGTGACTGCGGTGATTTATGTATTGACTGCAACGATTTCTCTATTGATTGCGGCAATTTCCCTATTGATTGCGGCGATTTACTCGTACGTATGGATTGTCAGTATTATTACAAAATTGCACGCATTCCGAAGGATTTTTACGATATTGTATGGCTTACCAGTTGGTTTCCAGTAAAAAAAGCATTAGCTAGGTGTTTCATCAGAAAAACTAAATTTTGTATAGCGCATGTATAGGTGCTAAATACAATGCATTGATTGTGTACGACAAATTTATCAATAAATCAACTTTTTGTACGTTTTTCATTCATTTAAAAGATCAGTTTTAATTGATGTGATACCCGAAATATAAACTTCTATGTAGGTACTTACATGCCTCCATTATTAGATATCTTTGATATGCCTAAATGAACAAATAGGTACAGGTAAATAAAACAAGTTAAGTAATTAAGTAATTGGAGGTTTTTTATTTAAAAATTTCATAAAAGTGTTTTTTTAGACGTTTACAAATTTTATTGATGTTTGTTTCTAATTTAAATGGACCAGATCCAATTGAATTGATGGGTCCGTAAAATATTAATTTATTTTTAACAATTTGAATGTCGTCTTTTTTTGGCCATAAATATTCTTCAAGTTCAGATTTAAAATTTTTTATTTTACTAGTGGTTTCATCAATTATTTGAACAATCCGACCTATGTACCACGACTCGTAAAGAATTGCGTAATATTGTTCGTTCCTAATTAAAATGCCATTGATATTTTTCTGGAGCAAAGTGTTTTCACCGGTAGTTTTTTCACTTTCTGTTACATCTTTGTCATTGTAGTTATTTGGTATTTTAGCTGTGTTTTTTCTGGACTTGTTTTTTTTTTGTTATTTAGTACTGCTGAGGATGTTCCTTTTACACGAGATAATCTGTCAGTTGAGAAGCGCCCGTCTTCAGTGGAAAATAACCAACAAAGAGCTGATTTTTTTTACCTTCATTTTTTTGTTGTTCACAATTATGTTTAAAAATGAGGTATCAGAATCACTTTTTGTCTAGTAATTTCGAAAATCCTTTATATTAAGATCTTCCAATCCATAAAAAATGCTCTTTTCATTATCTACATCATATATGGAAACTTAAGTTTAAAATTTAATGTTTTTTACTTTATCCGTTTTTGATTTTTCTTTAAAATTCGAAATTTACACATTTTCTTAAATATCTCGAATACGGTCCATTTTAGAGAAATTATGTATAGGGCAAAAATTATAGAGAATTATATTACAAACAACTTTTATTTGAACAATTTTTATAAAAAAATATTTTTTTTTTACATTTTGTCAAATTTCTCGAATACGGACCAAATTTTGTATAGAACAAATTATAGATAATAATATTGTAAGTAACTTTTATTTGAAAAAATTTCTTCTCCAAACGTAAATAACAGATATATTCCATAAAATATAAAAATGATGACTATAAAGTACCCTCCAAATGTTCCGACTCTGCCCAAAATCAGCTAATTGGACGCCGGAATAAAGCTTAAGTTTAAAATTTGGTGTTTCTATTTGTATCCGTTCATGAGTTATCGAGGATACAGACACACACACAGACATCATCGCGAAAATAGTCAAAACAGATTCAGGATACCCCAAAACATAAAAAACCGTCGAAAATTCGAGGTCGAAAAAAATCATGATTCCTATACTTTCCTTATCTGTAAACAGATAGGAAAGTAAAAATACATTTAAGACCCTAATTAAAACGTGTATCACCACAACCCCCATAAAATACCAACAATTTTGTTATACATTAAAAAAAACTAGATGAAAAGAGACAATTTTCGACCACCTTGTAAAATCTTGTATACAAGTAGATTTAGTGTCTAAATTTATCCTAAAAAAACCTTCAAATTCCAAAATGTAAATTTAACTTAATAGTTCTTGCCTCAAAATGCACGGAAGGACCCTTTCGATAAATGTAAACTGCAATTTCTTTACACAAAATGGTTTAGATGGCTTAATCAAAGCACCCTACATCAACAATGGCTAATTGGTTAATGTCACCTTACTGCGCGCGATTTTTAACGATTGCTAGTGATTGCTCAGTGACTGCTAGAGAATTCGGGGGACTGCAAGGGAATTCGGAACGACTGCGAGCGAATTCGGAACGACTGCGGCGATTTCTTAGCGATTGTCACTGATTTTGATGAGACTGCGGCGATTTTCAATGGGGGACATTTTGTACACGTATTGCGGGAGTGATTTGCCCCTCGGGTTTTTCTCTATCATAATAAATGCGCGCTATAATTATTGTACCGGCGTAGCCCATAGCGAATTGCTGGACGGTTGCCATATAGTTACCGACGTCAACTTGTAGATCGCAGAGTAGTGTCAAAAAATTATGCATTTTGGATACATGCGTTGCTGCCGTTTTGTGGTTATCATGTTACTATTCAATCGAATAAATGCTTTTATTTGGAAAATATATTATGTTCAAGAAATTTAATTCCCTTATCTCAAAGACTAAAAATAAATAAACAAATAAAAAACAATAATATCTAGCAATTCCTTACTGTTTTTTATCATTATAAATTTTGTTTTTACAATATTGTTTGTTGCTTCATCTTTTTTTACTTTTGAGTTTTGAGGCTTTTTGGAGCCTCGGCGTTGTCGTGCACCACACGACTTTGCCCTTATGTACGGCGCGCGCTGGCCTGCTAACACTCTTAGATAATTGGCTAGTACACATGTTAAAAACCTATAATAATCATAATTTAAAAGATGCAAAAAAATCTGTCAGTACCGGCTAATCTATTATTACAAACCGTTTTATATATTAATATAGGTAGCTAAAGAACTCGCTGATAAAATTGAAAAAGAAGATTGGATGAAACGCAAAGCTCTAGAAATACACGATCAAGAAATAGCAAAACATATGTTAGAAAGAGAACATAAAAGGGTAGAAAAATTACACCAAACTCCACCTCCAAATCCACCATATTCACCTCAAAAGGTGCCCAGTTTACCTCCCAAACATGATCCTCAATTCTCTCCCCACCGTTCTAATCCACAAAACTACCAAGCAAATTTACCCAGAAGACAAGCTTTACCAATGCCTTTGCCACAAACAAATATATCTCCTAACAGCTACAATAAGCCACAACATAACAATTTAGATGAAATTAACAGTGCAGAATTATACAATGAACCATATTTAACGTCTCATCAGTTATCAGATCATTTGAATAGAATCGATTTAGCAGATATAGGGATACCTTTAGACGAGGCGGCCGAACGTCAAATCCAAGAACAACGGGACGCAGAACTAGCTCGAAAACTTCAAGAACAAGAAAGTTTGCTAGAAGATAGAGATAGGCTTCTTGCTATCGAAGCTCAAGATAAAGAACTAGCTAAATTGTTGCAAGAGAGAGAACGGGCAAAGGCGAAGAGAGCAAGAGAACGAGCAAAACAGAAGGCTTTAGCTAAGAAACAGCAATTGGAACAGGAAGGTAACTACATTTTTTTCTTTTAATTTTATATTTATAAATTATTTAATTCTTTGTTACGGTATTTTGGATTTAAATTTAAAATGAAATACATCCGGTGAAATAAACATTTTTTTGTTGTACAGTGTGCTTAATTCAAGAAGAAAAAAATCAAATTTTTAAAAAAATTTCTTCTAGTAAAAATCTACAATTTTTCCCTTATGTGTGTGTTAGTTTGATAGCTGCTGCAGAAACTGAATTAATTTGCTAAACTGTCTTTTCTTGGATAAGAAAAGATTTCTGACTGTTCTATCTACTTGAAATAAAAAACAAATTGCTTTATTTATAGATTCTGCTCTTATACTCTTATTATACTATTAAATGACAATTTCTTTAACATTTTTTTAATATTAGATAGATACGCTATTAAGATTTATATTACCCTACAAAAGTTATTCGCTAACGCAAGATGGAGTTACGATAGCACAAAAATTGTTGAAAACTAGCGCTAAACATTATAGTTTTCTGTAACTACAAATATTGCTAATTAGAGTTGGTGCGTGAAGCAAAAGAGGGCAACACTTGATATAGCTATTACAGAGACGGAACAATATACGTTGTTGCCAAGTATATACTGTTCTACTGTTCTAGTTGTCACGTAAATATTGTTAAGCGGCGGAGGGTTAAAATCGCGTAGTTTAGATTTTTTTTGGCATTTTATAGATACTATAATTATTGTGTTAGTTCTCGAAATAGTAGTTTTTAATTTTTAGATTTAAATGGCTTAGGTTGTCTAAAAATCGTCCAAGGAAAACGAGTTATTCTCAAAAAGAAAGTTTAATATGTTTCTAAAGTAAAAATTATCCTAAGAGAAATAATAATACTTTACCGATTTTTTATTTATATACGCCGATATCATAAAAACTGTACAAAAATTTGTAAAAATGTATTCTTGTTTATTACTAGATAAAAATTTAAGGATTCTAACGATTGTAAAATCATAATTTTATCTAAAATAATAAGAGAGATAATTAAAAGACACTAGGGCAATGTCAGCATTTTGACGAGCGTACCGTAGATTCACAATGAAACCTTTTCGATGCTGGACCAAATCAATTTTGTATATATAATACGTACATCGGCCTAATCGGTTAACTATTCAGCTGGGTTACGTTTAAATTTATATGATTAGTAGTCTGTACGGTGTACACAGCCAGACTGAGCAAAATTCAAGATACAGAGAAAAATATTATTTTTATTTTGTAATATGATTTCAAGGAGAATTTTACTTTTGAAATATACATATATTATATTTTAAACTTTACCAATAAGTATTTTCGGTTATTTTAATACTGCTTACATACGGTTTTAAAACTGGCACCTACTTCCCAATCTGGAATGTGATAATCTTACTGTGAAGTGATTTTTATGTTGGTAATATAAACAAACAGTCTTTGGGTGCATACGCCATGGAATATCTAAATTCATTAGTCAGTTCGTTTTTTGCTTTAATTTGTATCAGACTTAATTTTTAAAAAGATAACTTCTTGTGAAATAATTTTTTTCCCATATTAACCAATATAAATTATTAGTGTTTTAAGTTTTGGACATTTATTTTATATTTTAGTTGTTAAAAGTTATTAAGAACGCATATAAAATGCCCCGATTATTTCCGAAAAAATCTCGTCGGGGTTGGAATTTACGAAAAACTGATTTGTAAGTTTTTGAGATATTATTTATTATTTATATATGTATAACGTTCGGTCATAGAAATATATTATTAAAGGTTAAAAATCTATAGATCTAGAATTTTTTCAATATTCAAACAAACACGGTGTGTGACAAAATTCGCATAATTTTAAATTATTACAAAACATCGAATCAAAATATTGTGAAACAAAATATTAAGAGACAAACATCAAATAAAGAACTTTTTAATTATTTTTATGAATCAGGCCAATCAGCTGACTGGAGCTATAATTTTAAATATATAGTTTATAAACCATACACAGTATGATTAAAAAAAGAGGAAAAACTTCATTTTTTTCTTTTCTCGACTTATATTTTATGATATATAGGTAGTTTATAAAGCATATACAGTATGATTCAAAAGAAAACAAGAAACACGAGAAAATATTACTTTACCTTTCTTGACTTATATTTTAAAATTTCGACGGTCAAATTGCCGTAATTTTTTACTTTACCTACTTTGAGTTTACTAATAAAGTGTAAAAGTTATATATGCGCCTGGCTATAACTAATTAATGAAACATAAAACTTGGTAATAACAAATATATATGAAAAATTAAACTCGTTTTCTTACCATTCCAGAGGAAGAGTTTTTCCTCACATATTCGTAACGAATATGTTGAAAAAATTAAAGGATTTTTATTTTAATCACTTTGCCGTAGAGTTAGTAGATAGTAGACACGAAAGAAATATGCCACTTAGAAATGTTACTGAATAAAAATAGCATAAATCTTTACTATTTTGTTATAATTCGACTATATATGTTTTAATTTAGGTATACTTTTAGTTACAGTAAGGATAGGATTGCACTAGTGTTCTACTAAATGAAGAGAGTTATATTATAATTTTTTATCTATTCCATATTTTTTCAGTAGTTTTTATGTATTTATTATGTATAATTCTCTTAAAAAGTAAATTTAAATTTGTTGATTGTAAAATATTAAATGGTTTCTGGTATTTTTAGAGATAGATATAATGAGAAAATGAAATGTTTAACGTTGCTGATTTAAAATAGTCTAAAAAACAATTTTCATGCGTTAAATTAAATTATGTAAGCAATTTAGTTATAAATAATTATAAAACGTTGCAGCATGTTTTGCTTGTTAAGCGTGATCATAAAATATGTATTTTTTTTAACAATTTGAATTTTGTTTAATTGTATATTTTGTTTGTAATTTTAATTATTAGTACGCGCTCATACCTACATAATTAGAACTTAAAAACAAACTTTCGGGTATAATATATTTGCTCGTACATACAATATGTTAACTTTCCCATAAATGCACTTAAAGAACGGTATATAATAAGCGATGCTATTTTTTTGACAGAGGTAGAACAGTCCGCGCCAGCCCACTAGTGACAGAGGTGTAACGATGCGTCTAATCACGGCAGGCAGTCAGCCGATTTACGAGAATCTCTCCTTATTTTTTTTTTTTTCAAATGCAAATATAATTAAGTGGCTCATCTTTATTTCAAAGGATTCATGTGTTAACGCACTCTATGTATCACAATAAAATTGCCAAATTTCCTTTTTTTTTTCTATGAGCGTTTGCATACCTACATACGACAATCACGTCCCGCCTTCCATTATTATTTGTACAGTCAGTGCCCAGAAATCTTGTTCGTGGATTTAATGACAGTTCTCCATTTGTTTTCTTCGATTCCTCATAATTCATCAATGTACATAAATAATTAAGCTACACTGTTGCCTGTAAAACAGATAACGGCTACGCATAATAGGGACTCTCTATCTAATAGACATAAAAAACAAGTTTGTTTTTGATTGTCTCAAAACGATTTCGCGTTGTAATGCGTTTATCTAATTGTCACAACTTTTAAACATTGTACATTTTTATATATTATACATATTAAAGAATAAATACAGTTGTTATGGAATAAATATTTAAAACATAAATATAATATATTTTTTTACAAAAAAATTGAACATGTCTATTAACAATGTTCTTTGTCGTCGGATATCCGTATAATCAATAAATAATCCCATAATTAATTATTATGTTTGCTGTTATATTAACCATTCTGTAATATCATATATTCTCTGATATGTAATTCGATTTGGCAACATCGTAAAAATTTCGCCGTTCACGATACATCCAAGTGGGTAGATTCAGAAACGTTAATTCAATATATATTCCTAGCAGCACCAACTGGACTAATGTTTTAGGTTCCAAATTTAAAAATATTTAATAAATTAAAACATTTTTATTCACTTTTTACGATTATTCAGTGTTTAGAATAAATCTTAGGTAGTGTGTAAAGGAACAAAAAGTTGTAATAACAGGAAATAGACTAATTTTGTACGTTTATAAAAGTTTTAACGATAATTTATTGTGAAATAATAATAATATTATTATTTATAAAAAAACTGTAAGTTTAAAAATTTTAGAAAAATTCTCCCAGTATAACAATGACATAGAGATCGCATAGAACAATTTTGAAAAAAATCTGATAAAAGATAACTTTTTTACATACTTGAATTTTTGAACAAAACATTTTTTTTCTCAAAAACGGCTTACCAGATTTTTTTCAAAAATTTGTCCATAAGTTACTTATTTGATGAGTAAGTTAGGTGAATTTTTTGAAAATTTTTGAACATAAGATTCATTTTTTGGTCGGGTAAGATAAACCTTAACTGTTTTAGCTTCAGACTTGAAAACATCCCAGGATCGAGATACCCACCAAATAATGCCAGACGATTCGTACGCCTTTCCAGCCGACATTGTACAACATTCAAATACGTTTGTTCCTAGAACGATTGCCGCTCATCCCGATTTGTATGCCGTTCCGAATCCAGACGAAGACGACATTAGTTATAGTCTTCCAGCTGACGTACTGCCCAGCGGAAACGCGGTTAATAATTTTAAATCGAATTACAGTCCTAACAAGTTTGACTACAGAACTGAAATTAAAGAAATCAATAATTTAGGTGCTACCAGTCAGAATCCGTCCTTAGATAAGGGGAATGGTTTAGGTTTGCCGGCTAGTAGACCTACACATTTAGAATTAAGGTAAGTCTTGTTTTAGGAAAGAAAAGTTTGTATTTCCTGAAAATTTTATTAAAAAAGAAATCTGAGAACTATCCTTGTGGTTTTTAAAAAGAAAAAAAAATAGAATAAAAGAAGGCGGTCCACTGAGGGTCATTTGCATTGTTAGTCTTAAAGAACTAAGCAAAGCTTAAAGTGACATTGTTAATTGAAAAATGTCAATTTAAGTTTGGCTTATTTCTTGAAGACTACCGGTGCAAATGAACTTGATGTGCGAAAAATTAACCTAAATTTAACGGTCTTTTAGCCATTTTAACACAGATACTGCATTTTCTTAATTTTGCCCATTTCTTGAATAATGACTTACGTTTTAGGCATTTATCATATTATGTATTCCGCATTAATACCTGAAAAGGAGGATAACTCATAGAAATAGTATAGAAAGCCGATTCCATATATTAAAAATGAAACCATAAGGAGAAAATAGTGTGTCGGAGCTCATGCGTATAACGGTGCTGGCGCGAACAGGACCGGTGCAAGTTTTTTATTGATCGAACAAATAGTTCGCACGATATTTCAATCATACATTTTTAGAGATGATTATATACAAAAAACGTATAAAAAAATTTCAAGTTAAGGTAAATATGGTTCTGACAGTCCTTATTAAGAAAAATATGACATAAAATATGAATTAGTTAATTTTCGGCAATCATTAGTACAGTAGTCATGAGATTTTGCTTGTGATTTTAAAAATACTTTCCAGAAAAACCACGAGCTCCGGTTTTGACTACGTTTATTATTAAACAGCGAAATTATATACAAAAACTTTAATCCACAATCTAAATTAGGTACTATCACAAGAAAATCACTGTTACAATAATTAATTACTTAACCAAAAACTAAAATACTTTTTAGGTACCTACGTAACCAGAAAGGAGCTGGACCATTTATCCTAATATTGATTTTCTCTCTCCCTACGGTAAAACTTAAAACAATAACAAATTGCCTATCTACTAGGGTCGGTAACTAAACGAATATACATAATGGGCGGATTTTGTTTATACTTAACATTACACTCGCGCATTTAAATATAACTATGCATATAAATATTTACAAACAAAGATACTTTTCCAAACAGGCAATCATTAGTACTGTAGTCACGAGGTTTTGCTTGTGATTTGACATCTTATTTGATAATATCATTTGCAACAACTAAATTTAATCTGGGGAGTGCAAAATAGGGCCCAGGAATATTATGTTCGATATTTTTTTACATTTTGTCAGCCGAGACTATGAGTCGTTAGACAGAAAACCTTTCATGTTACCATTTTCAATATAAATTAAAAAATTAAAAAATACTACTACATTTACTTGGTACATATGTTATTTTAATTTTGAACCCTTTTAAAAGGGTCTTTCGGTTCCATAATAAAAATTAGTTGCTGCTTACTAGAAACATTCTATATAGCCTAAACCAATTTATAGTTTGTTTTCGATCAATTTAATACAAAGATTTAAAGTTTTTAGTCGATGATAACATTCTAACCAGCACATTGCAAACCTATTTTATAAATAATAGGAATAAACTTGTAAATCATTAATTTGGTAGTTATCTCACTCATATGATTTTTTTGTTTATATGACTAAATATATTTTGGCCTTACAATACGAAGCGTTTTGTATCTACCACTTTTTTAATGAACGATGAATGTTGACAGGCGTGTACCTTTTTCGGAACAAGAGGCGTTTTAACGAAGGAAATTATTTTCGAACTATCTAGTTAGTTTTCGGAAAAATAGAAAACGTTTGAAGGAAGTTGTCAATAACAGTTTGTCGTTCATGTGTTTCATTTTGATTAGCTTTCATACTAAATTGCGTAGAATATTTTTCCGATTCAAAATCGAGATTCTCGATATTTCCACAGTTTATTTATAATACCTTCTAAACTGGATTTATCTATCATTTTATATACTTTATAATATATGCCCTACTTTTTACTTTATTAACAATTTTTTTTTAACATACTTCAAAATGGTAGGATATTCTCAATTCGTTGAAATATTTTTTTAAGTACGTTGAGCGATAATTCTTTACCACGTTGCCCGATTTCTAGGATTCTTTTTGTTAGAAAAGGAAACAGTTTTATATACATTAAGTCAAGATCTGAAGATGGGATCCATAAGAAAATCATTAACATCTTTATTTTTAAAGTAGGTTTTTTTTTTAAATTTCTTTAAACCTTACTGGTTCGAACGCGGTAAGGAATGAAGAAATGTAAATAATTGTTGTGCCAGCCAAAAAGCGAAGAGGAAGTACCGATTAAAATATCGAGTGACAGAAGAGTTCCTAAGATTGTTGAGATCGGGTTTATGTTTTAAAATGCCTTAAAACCGATATCGATAATGTCTCCCCGTCGCTGGGCAGCCTGTATATAAATATACAGCTCTCTATTTACATAATTATAATTCTTAGGTAGGTTTAGATTTGCAGACATAAATCTTGTAATAAATATAACAGCTGCCTAATACATTGATTACATTTTCATTAGCCAATGTAAAAATGTCTTTTATTGTACCTAGGATTTGACTAAACACTACACAAAACTAAAAATAAAATGCCACTTTCATCATGTAATTAATGCCGCGTTTGAGAATCCACATCGGATGCATTTTTTACATCTCTAGCGTTTTTTATCCACATCGGACACATCTGTCCCATTACATTTACGTATACTGAATCACGTGATCAAAGATTTACTACTACTACTACATCTCAGATGCATCCGATGTGGATTCTCAAACGCGTCATAAATAATAAACTACAAACGGTCCTGTAAGGGCAGCGTCATATAGCCTTGAAACACCGGATTTTAGTGCTATTGCCAGGTCAATATTGAATTTGTAGGTGAATCGCTTATTGAACATTAAAAATACGGTATTAATGACATTAATACGGTATTTGTATATATTTTTGCGAATGTAATTACACATAAATATTATTAGTTGATTATTTAAATGTTTATAAGTTATTTTGTGGCGATATTTCGTAGATATAAACTGTTTAAATCATATAATTTAAAAATTAATTAATTTAAAATTCTTTTCTGTTAGGTATGTTTAATATATTTGGCAACACTACAGGGACAAGTCATGCATATTGCGCAAGCTTCTAGACACACTATTTTGCGATGTCAGGCGCAGAGACGCGTTTTTATGCACAGTAGGTTTCAATTTCTGCTTAAATGTTATGTTTATATTGGTCTTCTATATTATTTCTATGGGATAACTCCTATAGGAGGGAAATAGGAAAATAAAATGTCCTAGAAAAATGTAAAACACTTATGAAAAAATCAATAATAAACAAAAAAAAAGCACCTATCATTTCGGAAATCCCTAGGTTGACGAATTCCAGTTTTTTGTTTGTTTTAGAGATTGATTTAAACCGGAAACTGCTAGATTTGTTTAAAAAAAAATACTAGTGTATTAACACGTCCCTATTTACAAAAATAAATAAATACAGCTTTTTTTTCACTTTTTTTATTTTTCTATTTTGATTACTTTGTACTTTACGCAATTTTCTGTAACTCCAGTGCATTCATTTCGGCATCCGTATAGTATTTGGTAAATACTTTGGGATTCATTAAACCCGTTTCGTATAAATATCTTGGAGCTTTGATGTTCGGACACTCCCTGTATAAATGTTCGCAAAACATTCGAGTCGATCTTAAGTGAGTTATTCCTTCCCAAACTGTAGCCATACTTTCTAATTTTGGGGGAATTTTTTCGCAACGTAACCATTTTTTATAAAAATCCTTCGGCGGTGGTTTTATTTGCATATAAGACGGTAATTGAGTTCCGAAAGCGCTAATTTTTGGTTTCATACTAGAAGCCTTTTGATCTTTTCTTATTTGATCGCGTAGAAAGTTTTTTCTTGATAATTCCGGTAGTCCTACGGAATCTGCTTGTTTTTGAGTAACGGCGGATAATTCTTTCACTTCTACGCATACCGTACCGGCACCATAAGCACTACTTCCCACTTGAAACATATCTTTAATGCTTTCGACATTTAGACCTTCTCCCACTGTACCGCCCATCGAATCTAACCAATTAACAAAATCTGTTGCTATTGCTTGCGTTACGGCTTCCGCCATTTCGCTAAGCTTCATTTCCCTCCATTCTAACGGGGGAAGATCCCTCCATATGGCAGCTCTGCCTGGTTTGCGTTTAAAAAAATCTACATAAACATTTTTCTTTTTGTGAACTATACCCAAGAGTTTTTCAAATTGCATGCATAAATCTTTTTCCTCTTCTGTACGTACTGTTTGGAATAAAGATTCTACGGTATCATCAATATCTGATTTGATAGTCTCGGCGGTCTTCATATCATCAGTTGTTTCTTCTATCAATGGAATATCTCTGGTTCTCATTACTTTATTGAGTATTATGGGAGGAAGTAAGTGTTTTAAAAATGAATATTTATGTTCGTCTGGGGTTTTTATGTCTTTTTCCAATATTTCAAATGCGTTCAACCACCATTTAGCATTCTTTTGGGTATTCGTGTTTTCATATTTACTGTTTTTAATAGTCTTTTCACATGATTTTGTCTTTAAATTAGGAGCCATATTTGAATGGTTTACTTGCTTATAAAATTAATACTTATTGTAAAAATATCTATTTATAATAAATTGTCACCTCTGACTTTTTGGATATAAAACGTCAAGCGAATTGAACTGCTTTTTTTTATCACCTTTGGAACTGTAGATATTACTTAGCAACAAGAATATTTGATCAATATCACGTCTGTATTATAGTCAGGTTGCAAATGATTGCAAGAGATTTAATCAACGATATATAAGGTGGTCCCATTAGTTTGTTAAAGCTGGATTATAAGCACAATGAATGACATTTTAAAGGTGTTACAATTACCTTTAAAATATGCCACAAAATTGTGCATAGTGTAATGAACTAATATAGTGAATTTACCTAAAGAGTATTTACACTATGAACTTTGTTTTTAAGGTTTAATGTGTTATTTTGTATGTCAATTTTCGCTAAATAAAGCCTTATTTTAGAAGATATTCCTCATTACATATAGTACTAAAAAATCGACCAGAGGTCGCTAAAATATGAAGTACTGTAACTGAAAACAAATCATGACGGCGAACGGTCAGAAAAATGCAGATAATTTTAGCTTTATCAAGTGAGAAATACGTCTATTTCCACTTTGGTAATTTATTAATGTCTAAACGAAATGAAAAGTGAAAACAACGAGAAGAAAAATACTACCTATAATAACAACTACACACATTTCATCAAAACAAAGTGAGGCAATTATATAGGTAGTGTACGAGACAAAAATAAATAAGGAAAATAGTGGGTGTTCTTTCTTACAAAATTGTAAAATTGTTTAAATGGATTTAAAAAAAATAAAGTGTTAGGTAATTTGATATTTTGATGTTATATTTACAGAAGAGTAGGTATTAAATGATAACTGCGATATTTTAGATAATTAATAATCACATTCCAAAGATAAATTCTTATTTTGTAACCAATCTCACATGAAGGGATTTTCCAATTGCAATAAAATGTACACTAGTTGAAAAAATTAAGGGATTGTGATTTTTAGAGTGGCTGTATCTTTGATAAAAATGGTCGTACGTGAATGAAAAAAAAAAAGCAATTTGAAGCTTAAAGTGTCTAGTTTATGGATCTTACGATAAAAAAAATTCCAACCAACAATTAGCACAAAATCCTGATGAATATCGTGGATAGAAAAACGCGATCCTTCTATTTCTTCAAAAATTCACTCGCATGAAACAGCTTGATGGATCAGGTTGAAATTTTGTAGGGCTTTCGGGGGAACAATGACCTGTAAGATGCACATTCAACATTATTCATTTTCCCAATATTCTCAATGTGGCACGTGATTTTCTAAAAAACCTCAAAAATACCTGTTTTCCGAAAATCTTCAAAGTCATGCTAAGAATGAAAAAAAAAATTCTCGTAAAAGAACATGCCAGAACCTTGTAGAGAATGAATCGAAGTTTCTGAAACACCCCTTCCATTTTCTGAGCAACCTAAGATATTGATGAGAGAAGAGGAAATGACGCATTTTCGTTCAATTTCTGATAACAAAAATGTTCTATCCATGATATTCATAAGGATTTTCTGCTAATTGTTGGTTGAATAATTTTTTATCGCAAGATCCATAAACTAGACACTTCAAGCTTCAAATTGCTTTTTTTTTTCATTCACTTACGACCATATTTACCAAAGATACAGCCACTCGAAAAATCGCTAAAAATCAAGATTTTTTTTTGATCTCTTAATTTTTTCCACTAGTGTAATAAAAACTGATTGATTTTATAAGATTTACTTTGAAATATAAACTGTAAATATTTCATTAAAAGAATAAAACAACCGTAACGAAATTCAAATTGCAATGATCATTTAAAGTTAATTTGATTGATATAAAGAAAACGAACTTACCTTTAGATTTTCTTTTCTTCACATATCAATAACTAAGTGAAACTAGGGAATTGTCGATTTTGGAATGAAGATTCGGCCGAAATTTAATGATAATTGTTTATATTATACTAGAACTATGGAACCCTAAAAGTAATAAAATATTCTTTTAAATTTTACTCTGTACATATCCTGGATGAGTAAGAATATCTACCTTTAATTAAAAAACGCAATTTGAGTGTTGAAATCTGGTCAGTGAGTAGACATTCTGAAGAAACAGATGTTCAATTCCTGAAAAGCAGAATAACTCTTAAATGAATATTTCTATTACAGATCACCCCTAACTCGAATAAACAAACCACGTTACCCAGACCCAGAAACCTGTGATAGCGCAAATAGTTGTCCTTCTATAACAAACTCCCCATCGCAACACACAAACATAGCTATGGCTATAGACCCCACCTATTCGCGTAGAACTGGCTACAGGGGTTCCTCGAGCTACGACACTGCTTCTAGTACAGTGACTACGAGTACTTCCAGTAGCAGTCCGGGTATACTACCACCGCCGGATCTAGCCGAACAGGAAGATGATAGTCCAGCCCCACCTTATATGCCCATCCAGGGTCAAAGAAGAACTGCCAGTTTAGAGAAGAAACAGAAGAAGAAAAGTAAAGATGGAGGATGTAAGCAACAGTAATTTAGTTATTGTTTTACTACCATTATCATTTCCTATGTTGAATAATAGTTTTTTTTAATGATAAAGAATATCCAGATGTGCATTTTTTCGTTCTTTTTTAGGACAATCTTGACAACTTAATTTACAAAAGTTGCTGGCGATTTTATTTAAATTAATAATACACTCGAAATAAAATAATTTGTAAAAAGGGTAATGACTGCAATAATGGTAGAAAATAAATAGTAAAAAAAAATGTTTTAATGGATATGTTATTTTGGTTGTGCCCAAACTATCTCTTAGACAATAAAGGAAAGATTCCTGATATTTTAAATTCGTTCACAAATGTGCCATGTAAGTTTTAAAATCATAATTTCCCTTATTTAATTTCAAGAACGCAATTAGAGTGCCATTTCTAACACAAAAAATAGTCAAAACGGATTCAGGGGACCTCAAAACGTAAAAATCCGTCGAAAAAAAATCATGATTCCTATACTTTCCTTATATCTGTATACAGATAAGAATGTAAAAATAAATAATTTGAATATATAGGGATATATAGGGAAATACACCTACGGTTAGGTTAGATAAATCTGAATATATATCTAACCTAACCGTAGGTGTATTTCCCTGTATTTTTTTCATAGGGAAATACACCTACGGTTAGGTTAGATAGATCTGAATATATATCTAACCTAACCGTAGGTGTATTTCCCTATGAAAAAAATACAGCAATATATTCAAATTATTTATTTTTACTTTCTTCAAATACACCTACGGTTAGGTTAGATAGATATTTAGATCTATCTATCTACCTACCTACCTACAGGGGGTCAATTCTCGACTTGTAGGAACCTTTTCCTATAGGAATTTGTGACACTTTCCTATATGTAGGAAAATGTCATAAATTTTCGATGTATATAAAAATGTCAAAAATTCCTATAGGAAAATATTCCTACGAGTCGAGAATCGACCCCCAGATAGGAAAGTAAAAAAAGGATGACAAGATAAATATTTTTTACATTATCCATTAAAACATTTTCATTTTAAATATAAACTATTGCATAGTTTTTTAGGTATTTATTATTATTTTTAAATTGTGCTTAGAATGTTAATTTTAATTTTATATTTTTATTACTAATATTTATCAATACGTTTCTCTAGTGATTATATTCAGAAGGTATCTCAAAAAATCTGATTTTGAATTAGATTTTAATGCGTATTACATTTTTTTAGGCAGCTGTTTTGTCTATTTTTAAGCAATATGAAACCATTTCTCTGGTATAATTTTCAAATTTCCCTAGCAATAATTTTATATTAGCTAAACAATTACTTGGTTATGATGGTAAGTTCAAAATATTTCTTCTCGAAATTTACCAGTTAGATATTAAAACTATCATCTTGTTGACATTGAATTAATGTAGTTATAAAAACCATGACATTACTATTATTGATAGTGGTTAATTTTTTGACGGGTGTTGTTGATGATATCATTAAAAAAATGTATCTAACAAATGTATATTAGAACCAAAGATAAAATACAAACTGTTTATAAATTATTAAAAGATGAAAAAATGGAAAATTTTGACATTTACATATCATGTAAGTCTATTACAATTTTAAAATACATACAGATGGTGATTCCAAAATTGTCCCCCTTCTCATTAATACAGCAGAAGAGTTTTATGATGAATTCATTGGTATATTATTTAATCTTTTTGATGTTGAGATCTTGTCTGAAATGTTTCAATTACAGGGATTACTTTTATATAATTTCTGACCCCTTTTTTGATTATGCCCAAAGTATAGATTAAAGATCAGTAGTGACAGAATACAATCCTTCCCTCTCACTTACATCTTATGTATTTTAATAGTTTAATTTGATGTATAAAGTCTAAATTAGTTTAATTAACATATCTGATTTAACTATACAACATTTCTATTTTTAACAAGTTTTTGTATACTATTTCATAAGGACAGTATTATTTGTTAAAAGGTAACAAAGTTGAATTGTCATTTCTTTATTTATTTTGATATTTTAAATCTCCCTGTGGATATGAAAGGTTTCTTGGCATCATTGTAATGAGCACAAAACTTTTATCTAATTTAACCAACTTTCTATCTGTTACTGTTTAAGAAATATCAATAATGTCCATATATGTTTTACTAAACTGATACATATGATCAAATTAAAATTGTACAATAAATAAAAAATATAGTCTAGTTTTTTTTTATAAATAACACCAAAAATATATGCTCAATAATATATAAGTTTATATATTTAACTTTGTTTATTTGTATACCAACTTGGTGGAAGGTTTTTATATTTGTATATTTTTTAATGTACTCTTTTTATTGAATATATATTATATAAAGTTAAAGCCTATTTATTTTGGTATTTTAAAAATGTAAGTTATTCGTATTCTTTCTACATTTCTTGGAAATATTAATAAGTACTTTTCTAAGAGTACTGTTGCTGTGGAAGATCAAATAAAACTACATTACATCTTAACCTAGCTAGTAAACAATAATATATCGGTACTGTAGTCAATAACCTATTGGACTGAATATTCTAGAAGTTTTCATTCTATTTTAAATAATAATCACACCTAAAAAGAATTATATATTTACTAAAACTTAATATCTATAATATATTTTAACTTAACAAGAGTTGCTATAAAATAACAGTTAGGTCTACTTTACTTTTGATGAAATAAATAGGGGCTAATTTATTTTTTGAACAGCTACATTTATGGCCAGATATATGGTCAAATGCACCTATTTTATTCTGGCAATTTGGACAATATATTTTTCCTTTTTTCCACTCTTCGGCTTCGATTTGAGCTAGTAACCAAGATGGTAGTGTATATGTATTAAGGTAAACGTTTGGTTGATCTCTGATTGATTCGCATTCATTCGGATTATTACTGTTACTGCTTAAGGATTCGCCGTGAGCATTTACAAACTCTTTCACTTCGTTTTCAAGAAATATGATTTTTCTACATTTCCTACATTTCATTTCCTTATACATCTTGGAAAACATATACTATTTAAATTTCCTCACGAAACACATTCAAGTGATTTATCTCTGTTAAATTTTAAATTAATACAAGTTATTTATTTTTCTATAACAAAAGATTTAAAACTTTTTAATTATTCGTACATAACCAAACTTTGTCATCATTCTTCTTTTTTTTTACTAAGGCCTCCACATGAACTACTAACTCGATGGGCCTTTAACTTGTCAGTATTTAGCAGAGGTTTTTGAATTCTCTAAAAAAAATTATCTGGGAATGCCCTACACGCGACTGGAATTTCTCAATCTTCTTATATTCATGTCAATTTTCCTCTCTTTAATATAATCATTTCGAAATTTCAAAGTAAAATGTCTTATGACACTCCAACAAAATTGCTACCAGTAGGTTTTGACAGGTTATAATATGGCAACCCTGTAGGCCTGGGTGATTTGACAAGGTCAATGAAATAGACAGTTACATAGATTGATCACCCATACTTTTCAAAATAAACATAAGCTTATGTCTTGAAATAAAAATGTAGGTAATTATTTTTTTTTACTATATTCAAAGGCTAAATGTTGGTTTGTAAACACATTTTTGCCAAATCGATTCTGATTAATGAGCACTTGCGAGACAATATGGCTGCTCGTAAACGACCCGCTTTGAGCAATCTATATAACTATATATTTACATTGAACCTTCACAGGGTTGCCATATCTAAATGTCAATTCCCACTTGTCAGCAGTTTAACAGGTCGTTCGAATGCCTAATTGTAAGGTAAGAAGGAATCATCGACTCCCCAATTATGTAAAATTATTCCGCATAAAAGAGACAAGCGAGGCAAAATAGAAGAAGTACATTCGTATCTAACTTCTCAAACTTTCACTGGTCACGTGGTGATGACGTTTTGACGTTTCTGTGAAAGATGTCAAGAATTTTTACTCCCTTGCCCCTTTCCTTTCATTTTACCAAATATCTACGATGACGACCCAGCAACCGATTACAGTTCAACCAAAACGTGGAATAATTAAACAGGTATTTTTTAATATAAAATAATATAAATCTGATGAATTACTTGTCGTATTTTTATTAGTCAAATAGTTTTATTCAAGTTTTGCCGAAATTCTGTAAATATCATGTGTATGGTTCTCTGTTAGCACAACAATTTCGGCATATGGTACCTTTCTAAGCTATATAATACACTAGATATTTCATTTTAGAATAATTAGTTGCAATTATTTATATTAGAGTTTACTTGTTTTAGAGTATTCTAAGGGTATGAAAATTTTTGAGGTTACAGGTTATATGAGTTGGCAAATATTTACGGAAATATTCTCATCTACCTTTCATTAAAATATAATTATGTTTATTATAGATCCTATCTGGGGACTCTGTTATTGTTCGAGCTTCATCAGGAGCACCACCACCTGAAAAACAGCTTAATTTTTCAAGTATAACAGCTCCAAAATTAGCCAGAAGAGTTGGCGATGGGTAAGTTTAAATTAATTTGCATATTGTATACAAAAGTATTTCCTATAACAGAATTTATTACCTAATATTTTAATTTTGTTGTCATTAAATTATTTAAATATTTTGTTTTGTAAAAAAATAGTTTAAGGCTGTTTAAAAATTATTTTAAGCGAGATACATTTTTATTATAATTTATTTAGTTATAAAATGTTCAACTTTTTTTAAAACTCATACTATTAATAGTGTTGTTTAATATTAAATTAAATATTGCTTACATAATCTGATATTGTTATAAAAATTTGATTGTAAATTTAAATGATTTTACAGCTACATTATAAACATTTTTATGAGTTTGACTAACTGCACATATTAGATTAAAAAATGAACAAGCAAAATCCCATTGAAAAAAAAACTAGATGCATTACACTAATAGGTTTTTTTATACCTAAACCTAAAATTAAAGCAATGAAAGAAAAATGCTTTAATGATAGCTGCAATGCAGTACACTAAATTACAGTGAAAGTTGACTATTATTGAAAAATTTTTACTGAACATTTCATGTTGACATTGCTTTTTAACAAACTTCAAAAAAGGAGGAGGTTCTTAATATTTTTTTATGTATGTTCATCGATATTTATTTGCTATGTTGTTTGATTTTTATGATTCTTTTTTTTGCTAAAAAAGGTGTAGCCCCATATATATTTGATCAAGATATAATAATAGTGTCCATGAGAAATTAATCAATCTCTTCATTTTTTTGTTAGAAAGGGGATACCTCAGGGGTAATTTTATAAGGGCTTCTCTTCTGCATGATTTTGAAGTCGATTTTTTAAAATTACTTTTATAACTTGTAGTTTTTTATTTCAATCCTCTTTTACCTATATTTTATTCAGATTTAAATCAATAGGTTTATAGAGCTTGATTATTATTGTTGTTAAGTACAGGCAAGTGACATTGTTGATGAAGCTGCTCTTTTAATTAGTAACATTTGAGTGACCTCTCAAGGTTCTTAATGTGTTGACCTGGAAGATGTATAATATTCATTGGTCCACTTGTAAGTTTCTATCAAGTCTCCTCCAGTTCTTCTATCCTTTAAACTTGAAAGTTGTAATTTGGTATCTTTTGTACTCTTTCCAGCAGGTCAATGTCTTTAACAAAGTATGGATCCCAAACAGTCTTAAGTAAGTTGTGTACAGTTTGAGGATCATATCTTTGGAATGGTCTTTACAAAGATCTTCTGATAAGGTAAATGATTCTGTTGTGGGTTTCCAATTTTAAGTCTTTAGATATGATTACACCAAGATCCTTTTGTACTCTCTACAGCAGGTCAATGTCTTTAACAAAATATGGATCCCAAACAGTCTTACGTAAGTTGTGTATAGTTTGAGGATCATATATTTGGAATGATATTTAAAAGCTCTTCTGATGAGGTAAATGAGACTGTTGACTTTCTTCACTATATTAACAATGTGGGTTTCCAATTTTAAGTCTTTAGATATGATTACACCAAGATCCTTTTGTACTCTCTACAGCAGGTCAATGTCTTTAACAAAGTATGGATCCCAAACAGTCTTACGTAAGTTGTGTACAGTTTGAGGATCATATCTTTGGAATGGTCTTTACAAAGCTCTTCTGATAAGGTAAATGAGACTTTTGACTTTCTTCACTATATTAACAATGTGGGTTTCCAATTTTAAGTCTTTAGATATGATTACACCAAGATCCTTTTGTGTTTTGACTGGAGTTATTGGGTTTGTGTCACATCCCCAACTAGTAATTGATAAAAGTGTACTTGTTGTGAATGCAAGACCCAAATCATTCCAGAGTGAGAGAACAGCGCGTCATTGCCTGCTGCTTGAGCCATTTTGGGTAAATTTTAAATAGGTAATCAATATTGGAGTAAGGCGATATTTCAAATATTTATCTTTATCGATTTTATTGTTTTCCAAAAACATATTAGCCAATATTTAATTTTTATAAAAAGAGTAGTATAATTGAACAGTCACGCCTCATTCATCTATATTTTCTCTGAATTGACATTACTGTTTAAAGTTTTAGATATTATTAAAAAAAGCTTTGTGAATATGGATGTTATACCTATAGATACTGATATTTTTCAAATAAACTTTTATTTGTAAACCTATTAGAAATAGAAATTTTAGCAAGTTACTTTACCATTAGTACCCACTGTATAATATGTATAAAAGAAAATTTAAAACATTTTTAACCCACAATCTAACATTTTTGTGGTTAAATCCGTTTTTAGGCTTAAATATATGAAATAAGCCCCAAAATAAGTTTTACATTTGATGCTGAAAATACCTATTTACCCGAAAAATCCATTGCTTCGACTGTCGTTTGGTCTCTGGCGTATAATAATGTATCCAGGTTTCATCAACGGTGACGACTCGACGCAAACACTCCTGCGAATTTCGATTAAAGAGCTCCAAACACGTATGGTACAAGTGGCTGTCAAATAAAAACCAACCAGTTTGAAATTTATAAAAAAAAAATGTAAAAGCGATTTTTTTTTAATAATATTTTTATTGTGTTCAACCTCAAATATTAAAATCATTTTATGCATTGTCGCAACCCTTAGATATACTAAACCTTCCCACTGGCAATTCATTTGTTTGGAATGTCTAATGGTGTCGTGTGACAGATGACAGTACACGACAGTAATGCCAACTTCCCTCAGCAACGCCACCTGCCTTCAAACGCGGGTACTTGTTGATCCACCCTCGTATAATAGAGAGAAGATAATTTTCAATATTTCAAAAATGTATTGAAAAGGTTTTTTCTGCTTGTCAATTCTTTATATTATATTATAATAAAAACTAAACATTTTACATACGTTTTAAATTAATGTTTGTGCACTTATGGGATCTATAACAACCAGTGTTGCCAACATAGCGGTTTTGTCGCTAGATCTAGCGTTTTTTTTTCTTCTATTTAGTGGGTAGAAACTTTATTTAGGGGGGGTTTTTAGTGGTTTTAATTTTTGAAAAAAAAAATTGAAATAAAATTGATAACAAAATAAATCTTGTGCACGCACAATATACAATATATTTGTGACTTATTCTTGAGTTCTTGTTTTTTTTTTTAGTGAATTACATTTTAATAATTTTATTATTCATTTGTTGCCCTTTCGAGCGTGATTGTCATCTATATAGTAAAGTTGATAAGATATCTGCGCACTGTCGCTATATTAAGTATAATTTCACTTTTACCGGTTTCAATATACCAATCCAGCGGGAATACGAAGCGGAGTGTTGGCAACACTGATAACAACATTTATAAACATAACCTAAAAATCAACTTACCCGTGGAACGAAAGATTTAACATGGAAATATTCCGTTTTTTAATTACATAAATAATCAAACAAACTCAGAAAAAGCAGTTTTCACAAAACGATAGCTGCCAAACAAAAAGTAAATGCGCTGTTGCCAAACATAAAAACAGCGTAAACTTGGCATCAATGTTCAATCAGATTATTGTTTCTGCCGCGGACGCCAACGTTGAGGCTTCAGAAGTTTTGTAAATAATCCTACCTCTCTTGGTTATATATTGTTACGCAGCACCCTGTAGCATGCTGCGGTCGTCATAAGTAAAGGTACGAGTAAATAAAGAAGATAGAATAGTCCAGAAATCTCCCGAAATGTCATTCCTTGTCAAAGAAAAGTCCGGATTGTTCGAGAAGGTTCTAGAAGACCTGACGTCAGAGTTCAGTTTTATGATAGACGTTAAACGTTAATGTTATCAGTTGGATAGTTATTGTTAAAGTTGAATTGTAGTTATTGTAAAAGTTGAATTGAAATAAATTTGATACCAAAAACCTGCGTAGCAATATCTATGTATTTCCCTCACAAATCAATTTCTATACCCTTTATAATATAAATAAAATGTATATTTGAGGTTTTGTAGTTTCAGCCACTATATTTTTTGAAAATTTTTAGGGCTGAAACATCTAAAGATGAACCTTGGGCTTGGGAAGCTAGAGAATTTTTACGTAAAAAACTCATTGGAGAGGAAGTTTTTTTTACCGCTGAAAAACCACCAAATGCTGTTCGTGAATATGGATGCGTGTATCTAGGAAAAGGTAAAATGAAATATATTGTAATTGATTATAAAATGAGTGGTAGTTGCTGACTGAACTTTTTTTTAAGCTGCTATAAATGTTCAATATTTTCAGGCAACATTTAATTGATTGCAAAGAAAGTTTTTTTAGCACAATTATCTTTATTAGTGTAAATTTTCTTTTGTATTCTGTAATTCTGCAAAACCTCTGCATTAGAACAATTTTTTGTTACAAGTTTTTCAGGCAACCTTAACTGAAAAAATGTCTCACTTAAAAAGACAGATTTCTGGTCAAATATAATTAAACAAAAAAGTGTAAACTACATGACCACGTGGTTCTAGGGTTAATGTCCAATATCTGTCGTGTATATTTTGGATCAATAAATAAACAAAACTTCTATTAATAATTACAGATTTCAGCACTGCGGAAAATATTACAGAGACTTTAGTATCTGAAGGTCTTGTCAGTGTTCGTAGAGATAATGTTAGAGTAACACCTGAATTGACCCGCCTAATGGAATTAGAAGATGCTGCTAAGGCGGCTGGGAAAGGAAAATGGGGCAATTCTTCTTCAACTGTAAGTATTTTTATTATTACAATATAGTGGCATCATTATTTCATATAATATTTATATACAAGGTGGGACATCAATCGTTTATAAAAAATATTTTTGTTGTATTAATATAATTTTGAAATAGGAACATGTACGAGACATTAAATGGGCTATTGAAAAACCACAAGAATTGGTTGACCAACTCCAATTTAAGCCAGTGAAAGCTGTAATTGAACATGTCCGAGACGGGTCAACTGTCAGAGCTTTCTTGTTGCCTGATTTTCATTACGTTACTTTGATGATTTCTGGTATTAGAGTAAGTAGAAACTATTTTTATATAATTTTCGATAAACTAATATTTGATTTTCAGTGTCCAGGTTTTAAATTGGATGCAAACGGCAAAAGAGATCCCAACGCCAAAGTTGAATACGCCGAGGAAGCTCGCTACTTTGTGGAAGTTCGTCTTCTGCAAAGAGATGTGGAAATTATTCTTGAAGCAGTTAACAACAACAACTTCATCGGAACCGTCGTACACCCGAAGGGAAACATTGCCGAACTTCTACTCAAAGAGGGTCTCGCCAAATGTGTGGATTGGTCGATCATGCTTATGAAAAGCAGTTCTGAAAAATTGAGGGCTGCCGAAAAACAAGCTAAAGAGGGTCGAAGAAGGCTCTGGAAAGATTTTGTAGCTTCTGCTCCGAGAATAACTGGTAAGTTACAAAAATTAATTGAATTTAAGTGTTAATAACTTTTAACTTCAGGAAAAGAAAAGGAATTCACTGCTACTGTAACCGAAATCAATAACGGAGATGCATTGGTGTTAAAAATGGCCAACGGTGACAGCAAGAAAGTATTTTTGGCGAGCATTCGTGCTCCCAAGGAACCAGGTCGCGTCAACGACGATGACGGCAAACCGGTTCCAAGACCGAAAGGATTCCGTCCTCTTTATGACATACCGTACATGTTTGAAGCGAGAGAATATTTGAGAAAGAAATTAATTGGTAAAAAAGTGCATGTTGTCATTGATTACGTACAGGATGCTAGAGATGGTTTTCCTGAGAAGGTCTGCGCAACTGTTACTGTTGGAGGAAAGTAAGTATTTATCAAAATAAACTGATTTTGTTCTTACGATTATTTGTTTTAGGAATGTTGCCGAAGCTCTTGTTTCTAAAGGTCTGGCGACTGTGGTTAGATATCGCCAAGACGATGATCAGCGCAGCTGTCGCTATGACGAATTAATGACAGCCGAAACTAAGGCCAGTAAGTCTCAACTTGGCGTTCATTCCAAGAAAGACAGTCCTGCGCTTAGAGTTACAGAAATTGTAAGTGTTACTTTCAATTTTTATTCACTTAGTTTTAAGCACATAAAAAAGCACTTGTAACTTAAAAGAATTCTTGAAACATAAAATAAACACCTTTGGACTCTTTTGAATAACACCTAGCGCCTTTTTGATACATTATCTTGTATTACAGGACGCTGCTAGGGCTAAACTTGAACTCGCTGCATTACAAAGAGCGCAGCGAATCGATGGTATCGTTGAATTCGTTGCAAGTGGTTCCAGATTAAGGTTATACATTCCAAAATCTAACAGTTTGTGCACCTTCTTGTTAGGTAAACAAACATTTTACTTATTTTTCAATCATTGAGGGCTCCAAGGCAGGACCTCACAAGTCGCATAAAAAAAATCCATTTTACTCTATAATAAGACTAATATTTATCCATGTTTTGTTCAAAAATTATAATTATCAGTGGAAATGTTAAGTACGAGGTCCTGCATTGTGACCCTCAAAGAATTAATGTTGTTACATCAAAATTACAGAATTAATTTGATCAATATTTAAGGTGGTATTAATTGTCCGAGAGCAACCCGCCAAGCAACCGAAACCCCCGGGGAACCGTTCGGTGACGAAGCCTTATTATTCACGAAAGAAAGATGTATGCAACGCGAAGTTTCTATTCAGGTCGATACGCATGACAAGGCGGGCAACTTTATTGGTTGGTTGTGGGTTGATAATGTCAACATGTCAGTAGCTCTCGTTAAAGAAGGTTTCGCGTCTGTCCATTTCACGGGTGAAAAGTCCCAATATGCTTCCCTTTTAAAAAGCGCCGAAGATAGCGCGAAAGCGGCTAAATTGAGGATATGGAAGGATTATGTCGAGGTCGAGAAGGAGGAGAAACGTGAAGAAGAAAAAGTGGTGAGTAATAAAAAATATTTCTTGACTTTATATTATAAAGTATAATAATTGACAAATCTCATTTATATCATCACAGTAACATAACAGAAAAATAAATATAAAGGGTGAATCCAAACTATTAAAATAAATAACATTATGTTATTAGAAACTAAGAAACATAATAAGTATAATATCAAAGCGTGATGGTACAAGTTTTTGATATTTTCTATATCTCGATATATTTAAGATAAGATAATAAAAATCATGTTGTCAATATAAAAGTTCAATTTATTCAATCCTTTCATTATTTGTTCGTTAATCCCAACAAAATTAGTGTCGAATCATCTATTACAATATAAAATAATGCATATTTTGCTGTTTAAGGGTATATGAAGCTATTGAATCCTTTTTTTAATCTATCATCACTTATATCTTTATCAACCACTAGAAATCCATGCTTTTCACCCCAACATTCCTCACACATTTCCTGAAATTTCTTAAAAGAAATATCTGGAGCTACATGGTCCGAGTATATGTGATGTAGGTTTAAGTCATCTTGTTTAAACATAATTAGATTTGCATTGTCTCTAATCAATTGTTTTGGAATCTTCGAATACGTTTGAGCCAAATAAAAGCAATCTATATTTCTGTGTCGCCCCATACTAAAATATAATCTAATAACATCTTGCTTTTCACAATTAAAAGAATTGATGTATCGTCAAAATTAGTGTCAAATCATCTATTACAATATAAAATATATACATAATAAAATAATGCATATTTTGCTGTTTAAGGGTTTATCAAGCTATCGAATCCTTTCTTATATCTACCATCACTTATATCTTTACCAACCACTAGAAATCCATGCTTTTCCCCCCCCCCCAACATTCTGCACATATATCCTGATATTTCTTAAAAGAAACATCTGGAGCTACATGGTCTGAGTATATGTGATGTAGGTTTAAGTCATTTTGTTTAAACTTAATTAGATTTGCATTTTCTCTAATCAATTGTTTTGGAATCTTCGAATACGTTTGAGCCAAATAAAAGCAATCTATATTTCTGTGTCGCCCCATACTAAAATATAATCTAATAACATCTTGCTTTTCACAATTAAAAGAATTGATGTATCGTCAAAATTAGTGTCAAATCATCTATTACAATATAAAATATATACATAATAAAATAATGCATATTTTGCTGTTTAAGGGTTTATCAAGCTATCGAATCCTTTCTTATATCTACCATCACTTATATCTTTATCAACCACTAGAAATCCATGCTTTTCCCTCCAACATTCTGCACATATATCCTGATATTTCTTAAAAGAAACATCTGGAGCTACATGGTCTGAGTATATGTGATGTAGGTTTAAGTCGTTTTGTTTAAACTTAATTAGATTTGCATTGTCTCTAATCAATTGTTTTGGAATCTTGGAATACGTTTGAGCCAAATAAAAGCAATCCATATTTTTGTGTCGCCCCATACTAAAATATAATCTAATAACATCTTGCTTTTCACAATTAAAAGAATTGATGTATCGTCAAAATTAGTGTCAAATCATCTATTACAATATAAAATATATACATAATAAAATAATGCATATTTTGCTGTTTAAGGGTTTATCAAGCTATCGAATCCTTTCTTATATCTACCATCACTTATATCTTTATCAACCACTAGAAATCCATGCTTTTCCCTCCAACATTCTGCACATATATCCTGATATTTCTTAAAAGAAACATCTGGAGCTAATGGTCTGAGTATATGTGATGTAGGTTTAAGTCGTTTTGTTTAAACTTAATTAGATTTGCATTGTCTCTAATCAATTGTTTTGGAATCTTCGAATACGTTTGAGCCAAATAAAAGCAATCTATATTTCTGTGTCATCCCATACTAAAATATGATCTTTCTTTTCCTAAATCACATCAAATATAAATATAGAATTCGATTTGGCATCTACTGGTTAAATTATATCTTCATTATTGTCAAACAAGTATTAAAAGCAATTTTAAAAAACCGACTTTAAAATCGTGCAGATGCCGTCACCACTTCTTAACCAATTTTATATGGGACCACCCCTGAGGTATCCTTTACTAACAAAAAAAGAATCGTTGAAATCGGACAAGGTGGTAAATTATCACTAAACATTCACTAGTGGAAAAAATTAAGGGATCAAAAAAAATCTCGATTTTGCGATTTTTCGAGTGGCTGAAAAGTACGTACAGAAAAAATGAAGAGTTTGAGGATTTTTCTAATAGACCCAATTATTAGATTTTGACCTGAGTTACAACTGTACAAATTATTACCAGAATAGTAACAAAAACTTGTAAAAAAATTGTTTCAAATAATAAAAATTTAAAATAAACATTTTTTAGCCAACAGAACGCCAAATTAACTTCGAAGAAGTCATCGTGACAGAAGTAACGCCCGAAGGAAGCTTTTATGTCCAGAAGATCTCCGAAGGACCTAAAGCAGAGGCTCTATTTGCCAAGTTACGACAAGAATTCCAAGCCAACCCACCTCTTCCCGGTTCCTATACGCCGAAACGTGGCGATCTTTGTGCAGCCAAATTCACAGTCGACGACGAATGGTACAGGGTTAAAGTGGAAAAAGTACAAGGTATACTTTTATTTATTTATATAATTTGATCATAAACGATTTTTGTTTTTGTTCGTATTATCTTGTAGAGAATATTTATAGTTTAAAAATTTGATATTGGGACAACTTTTGAATAAATTCATATTTGTAAAAACAATAATTTTTCTGAATTTTGTGAACTGAATATCTTAGAACGCTAATCGAATTCTGAAAGATCAGAATTATCTCAAATAAGTAGAAATAATTTGAAAATTCGGAAACAAATCTCAAAAATCCCCCTACTAATTATTAATACATCCCCAAACCCCAAAGGCGAAAATAAATACTTGGAGAGACTTTGTATCTGATAATTTTCCTATTTTCTTTTCAAAATCCAGGAGGAAAAGCCACCGTTCATTACATCGACTACGGTAACAGGGAAACCCTACCAACTCTCCGCTTAGCCAGTCTACCCGCCGCCTATGTCAGTGAAAGACCATTCGCTACAGAATACATTCTGCCTTTCGTTGTCCTGCCCAAAGACGAAGAATATAACGCGTTAGCGATAAAATACCTAAAAGAAGATACCGCCGTTAGCAAAGTGTACTTGAACGTTGAATACAAACCAGCAGGTTCGCCTCCTGCAGCATCCCTCCATTCAGACAAAACCTCCGATTCTGACATCCTAAAAAATCTTATCAAGGAGGGATTGTTCATCGTTGAAACGGTTAAAGGGCGTCGAAACAACAAATTGGTATTTATATATTATTAATATAAATATAATTACCAATTTCTAATTATTTAATTTACAGTTGGAAAGCTATAGAGAAGCTCAAGAAACTGCAAAGAAGCAACATGCCAACATATGGGAATATGGAGACATCACAGAAGTGGATGCTAAGGAATTTGGACTTGGGAATTGTATGTACATTATTTAATCTTGCTTTGCTGAGTTTTAAAATTAAATTTGTTTCAGAATTGCGGTATAGGGACCAGTCTACCAGAGCAAACCAGCTACATTATGGGTTCATAGACTTTCGAATCATGTTGATTATAATAATTAGAAAACTTCCATTTATATATAAATAGACGGATCTATACATATTTGCTAAGATATTTTAAATCAACAACAATATTTATATAACAAATATGTTTTTAGGTGTAATTGTTGTCTTTTTATACATATTGCGTACCTGTAATTAATTATATTCTTTGTAATATTTACCAAATACTTTATGTATATCGATTGAAAGATACTTTTTTTTTATACATTTTTGCATATCATATGTACATTTTGTTTAATGAGTAATTTATACATTTCTGTTAAATAATTCAGAGTGTTCGCGCACTTCCATTTGAGAAAGACATTTAAAAAGGTACACTGAAATCTGAACTAGACTGATACCATTAAAATATTGGTAAAAATAGGTTGCTCTGTGTTGTTATATATATTTATGTATCAAAACTTATTTCTTTTCGGAAACTGCTACAATGATGTAGGGGATGGGCTCTGTTTACAAATAAATTACTTTGATCGTTGACTAGTTGAGTTTTATTTGGAAATACCTTTTTTTTCTCATGTCTATACTGCTTTTTAAGTATCTGAAAATATGACTAATAATGCTTAACATTTCACATACAATTATGAGTTTGTAGAAATGGCCATTAATTTTGACATAAATAGCTATCGAATCCTTTCTTACATCTACTATCACATATATTTATCGACCACTAGAAATCCATGCTTTTTACTCAAACATTCCACACACATTTCCTGAAATTTCTTAAAAGGAACATCTGGAGCTACATAGTTTAAGTATATGTGATGCAGGTTTAAGTCATCTTGTTTAAACAATAATTAGATTTGCATTGTCTCTAATCAATTGTTTCGGAATCTTTGAATACGTTTGAACCAAATAAAAGCAATCTATATTTGTGTCGCCCCATACTAAAATATGATCTAATATCTTGCTTTTCACAAATCACATCATCATATATATATAGAAAGGTAGTCTTTGCTGACTAGTTAAACTTAACTAAGTTCTTGGCGATAGCAGCAAAAACTTAGTTAAGTTTTATATATATGCATGTATTTCTAATGTTATGCCCATGGTTATTTCTTATCAACAAATTTCAACATAAATTGGGCAAATCTAAAGTTGAAATCTATACGTAATCGTGAATAGTGCATACTGATTCAAATAGTTTATATAATTTTCTGCTAATCATGGTTTTGACTCAAGAAGTAAAAGAATCCATAAAAAATAGTGTAAATCAAGCTGTAAGTCTTTAAAATGTGGAAATCATAAAAACAATTACTGATAAAGTTATACTGATATAAAAACTATCGAGAATCGATTCGTAAATATAGGAAAGTCAGTGGCGTCCATCCTAAGAGAAATTAAAGATAACCAAACTGAAAACGAGTATAAACTACAGAAACTTAAAGTCTGTGGAAGAAATGAAAAAATCTAAAGAAACGAATCATAGACTAGAACGTTAACCAAGCATCTCGTCAAACAAGTATTAAAAGTAACTTTAAAAAACCGACTTCAAAATCGTGCAGATGCCATCATTACATCTTGACCAAATTTATATGGGATCACCCTTGAGGTAACCCTTTACTAACAAAAAAAATCATAGAAATCGGACAAGGTAGTTGTATTAGAATGAATGAGTTAATACTGCCCAAAGGGACTGGTTGTAAAACAGTAAAAAAAGGAAACTTTTCTCAAATTCTCTTACCTTAATATTTTATATTCAGCCAAAGGATGGTTCAAATTTCTAGTAGGAGTGATATAAGCACATTTAGGATTATGATGGTTGTAATTATGTAACACAGTCGTAGCGGTATTATTCGCGCCAACATGTATGGCGACACACACAACACATCAAAGTGTATAAAAGCAATTAAATTCACTTGTTCAGATTCAAAGTTGCTTCACTGGTTTTACATTCATGAAGCGCTGGTGTGGTCAAAGTTCAAAATAAGGGATTTGAGACAAAAGCGCGAATATTTTAAAATTAAATTTATTCATTCTGCAACAGTACTAATGAATTATCGATAAACATGCAAAATGAAGAGTTTGAGGATTTTCTCATGGACCCATTTTATTAAATTTTGACCAAATTTATAGGGGACCACCCCCGAAGTACCCCCCTTTCTAACAAAAAAAGAATCATTAAAATCGGACACGATGGTAAAGAATTATCGCTTAACGTACAATGAAGAGTTTGAGGATTTTCTCATGGACCCAATTATATTTTAACCAAATTTATATGAGACCACCCCTGATGTATCCCCTTTCTAACAAAAAAAGAATCGTAGAAATAGGACACGGTGGTAAAAAATTATCACTAAACATACAAAATGAAGAGTTTAAGGATTTTCTCATGGAGCCAATTATTAAATTTTATCCAAATTTATATGGGACCACCACTGAGGTATCCCTTTTCTAACAAAAAACTAATCATAGAAATCGGACACGATGGTAAAGAATTATCGCTAAACGTACAAAATTAAGAGTTTGAGGATTTTCTCATGGATCCAATTATTAAATTTTGACGAAATTTATATGGGACCACCCCTGAGGCACCCCCTTACTAACAAAAAAAGAATCATAGAAATCGGACACGGTGGTAAAGAATTATCGCTAAACATACAAAATGAAGAGTTTGAGGATTTTCCCATGGACCAAATTATTAGATTTTAACCAAATTTATATGGGACCACCCCTGATGTATCCCCTTTCTAACAAAAAAAAATCATTAAAATCGGACACGATGGTAAAGAATTATCGCTTAACGTACAAAATTAAGAGTTTGAGGATTTTCTCATGGATCCAATTATTAAATTTTGACGAAATTTATATGGGACCACCCCTGAGGCACCCCCTTACTAACAAAAAAAGAATCATAGAAATCGGACACGGTGGTAAAGAATTATCGCTAAACATACAAAATGAAGAGTTTGAGGATTTTCCCATGGACCAAATTATTAGATTTTAACCAAATTTATATGGGACCACCCCTGAGGTATCCCCTTTCTAACAAAAAAAAATCATTAAAATCGGACACGATGGTAAAGAATTATCGCTTAACGTACAAAATTAAGAGTTTGAGGATTTTCTCATGGATCCAATTATTAAATTTTGACGAAATTTATATGGGACCACCCCTGAGGCACCCCCTTACTAACAAAAAAAGAATCATAGAAATCGGACACGGTGGTAAAGAATTATCGCTAAACATACAAAATGAAGAGTTTGAGGATTTTCTCTCATGGACCCAATTATATTAGATTTTTTGTTTTTTTGACTAAATTTATATGGGACCATTCTGAAGAATGTAATTTTATTTACTTGTTATTTTCTTAATACCCATATCTTCATTTCTATTTAAAATTTGATTAAATTCTTTATTTTAAAATAATTATTATACAAATGTATAGTCAATATTTGGTTATTTTAATCTTGTTTCATCTCCTTAAATTGTTTTTTTCTCTTTGTTCTCTCTTTTGTAAAAAAGCCCTTAATAATATATTCTTTAACATTGTAAGAGTTCTTTAGGAATATTTCTGGATATTTTAGATAATCATTATGATATAGAAACAAAAAAAAATTGAAATTTTTTAGGATTACATAAAGGAACTAAAATAATATTAAATATGTCTGAAAAACATTTCGATGAACTTTTAATATATTTACAAACAGGTATTGATGTATTGGACATTACAGTTTTATATTCCAAATTATACACCATATTGCAATAATTATTTTATAAATAAATGTGATGGCACAATAGTATACATAAAAAATAACATAAAACAATCTATAAAAACAATGGAAGTAAATTTTACTAAATTTTTACTTATAATCTTTAATAAAAAGCATCTAAACGAGTTTATAGATGTAGGGATAACAGCTTGTTATATATAGATCTTCTTCAATAAGCATTCAAACATTCATAGATGATTTGAAACAATATTTAAAAAACCTTCATAAACAACGCCTAGAAGTTTACACAGGAGATTTCAATATTGACATACTAGAACCTGGTGTTAATGAAATATTTAAATGTATTAAATAACTACCAAAACATGTATTGATCACATATTTCTAAGAACAACCAAAAAAATAATAATAGCCTTTATTGCCCAATAGATATAAAAATGTTTAAGCATTGTGATAATTGGTACAAGCAACTGCTTTAATACTTTCCAAACTATCTGATGCATTACAATATAAGTTTAAGTTATTACACATGACATTGGAGGTGAGCTTAATAGAATATTTGTTCTAGATTTGTTACCATAAAAAGTTAAATGAGGTTTGTTATTATACTGGAGGTACATTTAAATTAATTTTAGCTAAAAGAATAGGACATTCAATTAAGCCATTCATGATTTTATCATGTTAAAACTATCCAAAAGCAGCTGTTAATTGATTCCTCTTGGTTGGTAGACACCACTTACTTTGAAAGCTAAATATTTCAAAAACAGATTCAACATTAATCATGTGAATATTATAGTAGTGATACCAGATAAATAAATAGTATGTTTTTAATGCTCCAATGTCCCTAAATCCACGACAGTTTCGTATTCGCGATTCAAATTAATTTTTGCAAATTTTTTAATGAAACTCAACAGCTTTCCAGAAATGATTAAAACTCTTAATAAAATATTAGTCAATTTAAGCCCATGGTTTAAAATGTACAATCTTATACTAAATGAGGATAAGACTAATTTAATGTGTATAACAACAAATTACAAGAGTCATCACTTACCTGATATTAATCTACAACAGGGCACCATGGTAATAAACAAAAATGTTAATAAGTTTCTGGGAATGCAAATAATGTCTTATTTTGGGATGTCCATGTCAGTTTAGTAATAACAAAGCTGAATTCTGAATGTTATAAATTAAGAGTATTATTAAATTAGGTACTTAAAAAAAATCATTCTACCATTGAGTCCCGTATTAGATATGGTATTATATTTTATGGATACAGACATAACATTTTATGAATCTTGTAGAGATTTAATTTATTCACTTTTTTGTAGAATATGTATACAGGAGTGCTTGTTTTGCTTCTTTAAGAATTCGAATAAAAATAAATTAAAATATTTGAACCCCAGAATAAATATACCACAAGAAATCTTTGCTACAACTAACCTATACATAGATTAATGCTTGAAAAAAGTGTAAGTTATAATATCTTAAGATTTTATAATAAAAAGCCTTTTGAAGTGAAGTTAATAGTTTATCAGTGTTTCAAAGAAGGATTTTTAAAATTTTAGTAACAATCCTTACTCAGTTAATGACTATATAGAATACCAAATGATTTAAAATGTGCTCAGGATTTTCTAAAATTTTTATTTTTTGATTAGATTTTAATTCAAAAATCTTGTCGCTAGTATTGTAATAACTACATCTTGTTTGGAAAATGCTGAAATGTTAGTATAGCTTTAAATCTATGAGGGACTGAGTTTACTATGACATTAATATCTAAATCTTTAAGTGGCTGATTTTCTGCAAATTCAA